TGTGTATTCAAAGTGGTTAGGATAGATATATAGTTACATTCTCTTAATGAATAGAGGGATTTGTTCTAATAGTGTTTGTAAATAGGATATCATGTCCGTATCTTGTACTGCAATTAACTACTAGGAAGAATGTATGCAATGTGTTAATTATTGAAGCTGTCCTACCAATTTGGTTTGAAACTGTCTCACTGCTATTTGTTTATCAATAAAATTATGGAAAAAAATTGAGACTGAATAAAATCAAAATTAATCTTAAAAAAATAGTAACTGTAGTGACTTGTTACTATTAATAGTAAATGGTTATACGAATATGTATTTTAAGACTGAAATTTTTATCTGTAATAATCTCATAAGTAGCTCTATAACTACATATCATTATGCTCTTGTATATTAAAGCATTTATTGGGAGTAACTTTAAATAAAATAAAATATGTAACAGAATATTTTTGTAATATAAAATATTAGCATTGGACATAGTACATATATGACATGACAGTACTATATATCGTGCTATAAGGGAAATGACACAAAGGTTCTATTTGAGGCAGTTATATAAAGGAGCATTACACACTCCAGATAATAGCTTAGTTTTCCGTATAAATTAGTTATTCATTAAGATGAGAGGTGGGCCCGGGGAGATAGCTCAGTAGAATAGCACTTGCCTGGCAAGCACAAGGGCCTGAGTTCAATCCCCGGTTCTGTAAAAAAAAAAAAAAGAAAGAAAAAGAAAGACAAGAGGAGGGGATTTAATGATCATTTGATAATTTGCTCTAAGTATTTTTATGAGGTATGACTTGTTTTGTCATACCTCAGTGTATACAGGCAGCGTGTATATTCTGCACTCAGACTGCTTAGATTGCCACGTTTCCTGGTCTCTGAGCAGGCGTGTTCCTTTCTTTGGATGGATGTGTCTTGGTTTACTTTTAAACGCTCCATCAAATAGCGTTTCTGTGTGGTTGAAGCCCGGGTGACCCGGCTGCATGTTCCTTGCCCTGCGCCCTCATGAGCACCTCACTGCAATGTCTGGTCAGGATTCCTGCTTCCTCTACTAGTCATAAAGACCCCTCCTGGGGGCTGCGAGTAAGAGGCAGAGACACTGAATGAAGGAACGAGTGAATGAGCAGGTCCTTGCTTTACTGATAATGGAATCCAAAATCAAAGCAAGACTTCCAGGAAAAAGCATTAAACTGACCCTCTTTCTAAGAAATGGATGTAATTATATTCCTAACTCTAGCATTCCATCCCCACACCTAGGTTTAACACTACTTGGCAGTGGGTGAGGAGTACACACTAGTTAACCAAGCCGCCCAACACTGATGCAACAGGAGTGTGGACTGTGACAAGGTCGTGAAGTGGTGAGGGGGATGCTGGTGTGAAATTTCTCTTGGTTCTGCACTCCCCTGAACCTAGCTAGCTGCAGACAGCAGCACAGCCAGAAGAGTCCTGATCCAGTCCTGAAAAGCTTAGTAGAGTGCACTCTACTGCCACCTGCTGACACTCATGGGGTGGGTCAGACAAACTGCAAAGACTAATGTCTTCCGGTCATTACAATTTGGAATGTTAAAGATATTTGAAAGCTAGAGCTGCTCACCACGCCCTCAGCTCTACATGATGAGTGTAAAGAGTTCATTTGTCCCACACATTCCGTGAAGGCACGTGACATTTGGGCCATTTTGGTGGCTTTCTGGTGGTATTCTATGGATTTATTTTGCTTTCTCGCAGTGACTAAGAAGGTTGAAACACTCTTCAGTGTGTTTGTGGACCATCTGGAAGCCTCTTTTGAGGACTGGACACGCAAGTCTTTTGCTATTTTTCCACTGGGTCGACTGTTCCCTATTGATTTGATGACTTCTTTATTCTGATAAGAATGCTGTGGCAGAAATGAGAAGTATGAGAAAAACAATGGGGGCTTTCAACATACAGAATTCTTGATTTTAACAATGATTTAATGTTTTAAATTTATATGTAAGTAAATTTATATCTGATGTACAACTTACCAATATTTTCCTCTAAGTTTCATGTTTTGGGATCTTGTTGAAGAAATTTTGGCCCACAGCAATGCTTGAGTACATTATCTGAGCCAGCTGTTCTCATCTGAAAAGCTTTGCCATTTAGATCTGTCTTGTATTTGGAATTGATTTTTAACAACGATGTAGGAGAACCATTTTTTCCTACTGAGATAGTCGACTTCATCCAAAAACATCCCTTCCTCACTGCACTGCGTGCTGCCCTTGTCCTAAGTAACTGCACACCTTCAGCTTTTTCTTCAGATCCATTCTACTGGTCATTTATTTATCCCTGGGCCACAGCCAGGTATTTCTTTCTAGTAACATTAACAAATGCAAAATAGTTGTCCCGACTATAATAGAAGCAAGGTTATTTAAATTTTCAGTACTAGGTATTAAACTTAAGGCCTTGCACTTGGCTCTACTACCAAACTCTATCCTGAATCCTATTTTGAAATCGACTGGCAGCAGGAACTACGTTTCATGTGCAGCAAAGGCTGCATTTCTTCCACACGCTTCTGAGTGGTGGTGCTTGAAATCCATGACGGTGCATTTGCGCATCTCTACAGCACTCGTAGGACACTGCTGTACTGTGACATTCTAGAAGCTTCACCTTTTCTCTATAGCAGACCTCAGGATACAGCAGCAAGCGAGACACACGCTTGTGACAATGGTGAAGACCCCACCCCCGTGCGCCACAGTCCTGTATGCTAGTTCATGAGTTACACATTCACCAAACAAGAAACAGAACCATCAAATGTTTTTATTACATTTTCAGTTCACAGATATGAACAATATTTACACAACATTAAGTTTATTTATTTACACAGCATCAATGTAAAAATCAGTAAGAAATGTTGGTTTGGGAGTTAAGAATCATACTGAGGGTCTTTCAAGGACATGTTGTACCATGGAAAAGAATTATTAAAGAGTATGTTAAAGAAAAAATGTGGAAAATTATTAGCTACATGGTCTTGATCTTAATATTTTGAATAGATCCCATTATGTTAAATAGATCTCACAGCAGACAAATGGATAAAGAAAACATGATTTATAAACACAATGGAATATTATGCAGCCATAAAAATAATAAAATCGTGTGAATGGCTGGATGTCAAAACCACATTGTGTAGTGAAAAAGTCACAAACAGAAAGTTAAATATTGGGTGGTTTCTCTTAGTAAGAAAATCCAAAGTATAAACACATTAAAGAATAAAATAAATGGTAGGAAATAGGGAAGCAGACTTTCAGGACATAAAAAAAGGGTCAGAGTAGGGGCAAAAGAGGAAGTTTAAGAAAAAAAAGATCAACCCAAAATGAAGTATACATATACATATACATATACCAAAATTCCTCACAATGAATGAAACTATGATGTATTGCAAACATACACTATAAAGGAAATCCTACTGACATAAAGCTTAGGTTTGCTTTGAATAGAACATGAGAAATTTATTCTCTTATTTGCAATCTTTAAACATAGTAAAAGAAAAAGTAGTTGAAAAGAACATGAAGTAATTAAAATGTATATAAACTATAATGGGAGAAACGTCACACTGTAACGTAAGGGCAAACCATGCTAGCAATGCTAATGCTCCCACCAATGCTCCCGTGACAGAGTGGTGACGATGACGCAGGAGCAGGAAGGCGCGCATGGCACCGCTGCTGAGGATGCCGCAGGAGCGAGCACTGCAAGGCCAGTGGGGCCGGCAGAAACCAGGCAGCTCTTAGAAATTTAGTCACCAATGTAAATAAAACATAAACACTTCACTGAAAACTAGCCGAACTTGGAATAAATCTGAAAATAAAATGAAAAAATGTAGGCAAATGACAGTTTATAAAATGATCCACTGGGCCAGGGAGATAGCTCAGTGACATAAGCACCAGCAAGTGCAGGGTCCCGAGTTTGATCCTTGGTTCCACCAAAAAAAAAAAAGATCTATAGAGACAAATGATGGCAATTACTTTGATTATCATTAAAAAATGTTTTGCGGAAAGAAATAGTTAGATATATTGTTACAAGTTATAAAAATAAATCTGTTGGTTAAAAAAAAAAAAAAACACCAGTAACTAGTATTACAAGTTTTAAAAAATATGGCAAACCTGTATCATGACTTTTTTTTGCAGTATCTTAAGTCCTTAAGTTATTAAATCAGAAATCTTTGATCCACCAGTGTTTTGCTTGCCAAATTCTTTTGTCCTACTGTATTACGGATAAATCTAAAAATCTGAAAAATTAAAACAACTGAGAATGAAATGAAATATAAAGAAAATTAAGTATGTATATCAATTAAAATATCTAAGGTAAATTAGCTCATTCTTTCAACAATCTATTTTTAGGTACCAGATATCTAAATCTATGGTGATACACAAAATGATTTCAAGACAATTTTCACCTTTCATAATATCTTCCTACCTACAGTGTGTTTTTATAAAAGAGTAAAACAAACCTCTCATGCTACAGGAACACACTTAGATATTAGAAAAGACAACCCTCCTCTAACTCTAACAGCTAAGGAAAATCAGGAGTCTACTCGGAAGGGACAGAACCAGCCCATAACTGTCAGTCTCTCACACAGCCTAAGACCCTGCCCCTCGCGGACCTCTGCCTCCCCTGCACAAGGAGGACACCTGCAGGCTTATCACAAGGCTGCAAGCAGCTCTGACTTGCTGTTTCTCGCCATCTCCACTCACAGCTCGCGGTCAGCTCCAGGAGGAGGGCCGAGTGAGTCACAAGCTACACGCCCTCCAGGACTGAGCGCTGAGTCGGCGCTCCAGGGACTGCTGTCCTCATGGACGACTCTGGAGTTATGGCTTCTTTTTGGTGTCGGGGAGCCAGGCGGCTCAGCGGCCCCCTACCAAGCTTCTCTCACGTTCACTCGGGCCACTCTGCCCTCTGCTAGGCCACAGTGTGGGTGTCCCTGACCCCAAGGACAGAGTGCAGGACGTAGTCGGCTACCGGGACTCCCTTTTTTAGTAGTTGGTCATATTCCAAACATTCATAATACCTACTATAAGTAGATATTACTCTCTGCTATAAAAATAAATTATCTACCTCCAATATGCTTCCTATAACAGAAACAGAAAATTCAAACTCACCTCTTGCTGCAGGTATGTGAGGAAGGCTGCTAACATGAAGCTCTGGCCAGCCAGGTCCACGACGGAGAAGAACAGCAGGTCGAAAATCAGCAGAGTGGCTTCATTTCCGTAATACAGCACACTGCTGAAAGAGTAACTTTCATCTGTTTACAAAAACGGAACAAATCCACTTTGATAAATTCTGGTAATAAAATTCAGGGATTTAAAAATAACATAGTAGAAACTATTATTATGTACACTATTTTATGGTTTATACAAAAAATAAAGAAAAGGTACTAAGATTTACTAATCCTAAAAGGTTAGTCAAGGAATTCATAGAAACTTATGACAGTTTTAATATGAGATTGGTAATTACTAATAGTATAATATATACCTTCCAAAGACAAGTTAATGAGTATCTTTTCTGTATTTCTGTACATAACTAAAGGCTATATTAATCTCTTAAAGATTCTTTAGGAAGAGTAATTACAACTCAAAGCACAGCCAGGCACAGAATGGCAGAGTGTTCTAGAATTCCTGCCCAGACTCTCCTAGCATTTTGCTCCAAGGCCATTTCCCACCCAGCAAATGAGCCGCGTGCTTCCTGGGAGATAAACAACCTTTTTAAAAAAGACCAGTTGAACACTATAGACCTTCTCTGGAGTGGCTGGGGGGAAGGCCACCAATCTAAGTCCTACAGAACATTACTGGTAGGTCGAGAGAACCACTGTGGCCACCGTGGAGACCCATGAGGGGATGTCCGGCTGGAAGTGACGTTCTCTAAGCAGAGTGCTAGGTACAGAGACATACTCACTTTGACAAGTTCACTGAGCTGTCAGCTGCCCTTATAAAATATGTACTTCTCCATGAGCGCCAAATGTGTATGTGTACAGAGAATAAACCTGGCTGACGTGTTTTCATGTCATAGGATATGAAAAAGAGTGGTCTTCAGCTAACATTGCTCCCACGATGACATCATAGGATGACAACCCCCTAACGTTTGTGGCCTTTACTCTCTCCCTAGATCTGTTCCCTTATATTTAATTCCTTACTACACATTACTTCTTAAATGTCCCAAAGGTACCTCTAGGTACTGCACAGTCAAACTTAACTCGCCCTCTTTCCATAAAAACCTTTTCTTCCCTTTGTACTTCTTGACTTAGAAAAAGGCACCACTGTCACCACTGTTACAGAAAAAAAAGAGAATCATTTTTTGTGTGCTCTTTTTGTTTTGAGATGGGGTGTCACTAATGTGGCCCAGGCTGGCGCCACCTTGCCTCTTCCCATACAGCTTGCATCCCAGGCACACCCTGTGCCTGGTTTTGCCTTATCTTTCTCTCCTACCTCCTTGTTCCCTCCACGTCTCTGGTGAGGCTTTCTTTGTCTCCATCCCTACTGCCTTGGCTCCTGCTCCCATCATCTCCAGATGAAAATGAGGGCAGACAAGGCAGGAAGAGGCAAGATGTGAGCAGGAACAACAAAGCAGAAGGAAAAGGAAAGAGAGGGACGGAGGGACAATGAAGACAACTGCTTTTAGAAAGAGGAACATCTCTGCTCAGAGTCTTCCCACACTGTGCTTTGATCTAGTCAGGGGTGGCGAGCCTATGGCATGCGTGTTATTTGCTTTTCTTTTAAGATAAAGATGTTAATGTAACAAGAAAACAACAACAAAAGATGTTAACGTATGCGTTAATTTTTCTGAACTAAAACCTCAGTGTGCAGGTTTTGGTGCAGTGTTGGAGCTTTGAGAAAAGTGGGTTTGGGGTTTCAGTCTGGGTCCTCATCTCTAAAACGTTTGCCTTCTAGTTTTCTATGTGGCAATGCTACAAAACCTTTAGCAAAAGTTTAGCAAAAGAATTAAAACTCAGAAAAGTTAAGCCATTTCCTGGAGTTCACAAAACTAGTAAATGGTAGTGACATTTTAATACAAGACCAGAAGATGCTGGATGCTTCATTCTTAATGACCACGTCCGTCTCTACCTCAACCTGCACCACGCTGCCAAGTAACCGACACAACTTAGAAATCAGATCTGCTTAGCACAACTCAGTGCCGTCCATGCTCCTTAGCAGCAGCTTTCACGTTTTGTTTCAGTTTGGCTGGCATCAGATTTCTCACATTGTTTTTATCACATAACTCTATCATAATAAAATGCTGAGATCTACTCCCAGAGTAGATTTATTCTGTTGGCCATTATTCTTTATATTATGCATTCTATAAAAATATAAGATAGAATAACACAGATAAAAAGTCATCTTTAGTATTTTCTTCTCTTCTCACACCTCCAGCTATCAACATATTTATCTGGTGGAACAAAAATTTTAAGAATAATAAGATGCTGGAAATTTAGGATTGCCGGGTCTCCAGGACAAGGCCAACTGAACTTGCTCAGACGTCGGGCGAGGCCTGCAGGCCCGGCCTGTGCTCTCCCCACCTCAGTGCTCTCCCACCCGTGTCCGCCCCACACCAAACTCCACGAGCCTTGCTGAAACAGAACACACGCTGCACAGATTTCTGAATCTCTATTCACCTTCTGCATGGAAGTCTTCGCCTCTTTCTCTTTCTTCCCTTAATCCTCATTTGGAAATAGGTAGTTTTTTTAAGGCCCTCTTCCAGTTTCTCCATGCTGCCTTTCCTGGCAGACTGCTACTGTCCTCTGTCCCTGGCGTTCCACAGATTCCTACCTCAGCGCACCCTGCAGACTTGCTCACCTGCTTTCTCTTCCACAGCCTGCCTAATATGACCCCAAGGGGAGGACCTTGGTTTGTGTGTCTCCCAGGTCTGCCGCAGCAGGTGGCAGGTAACACACATGGATAATGACATCTGAGCTGGGACACTAGCTGTACCATTTCCATTCTTACCATCCCATGCAATAGGTTGTATCAGTCATGCTATAAGTGACACACGTACCATCTCTGTACTGATGAAACAACCTGGTTTAGTCACTAGTTCTGTCAAAGTATCAGTGGCTTTGAAGAACTTGGACAAATAAAACATTACATGTTAAAGATTAATCCCTTGTTATTCTTTAAATGTTTCCCAAGTTTTCCACTATATTAACATTCCAATAAAATTTTGTTTTATTATCTCTTCGACATGTGCTGTTGATTCTAAAAGTTAGCTTTTTACTTTCTAGAATCTTTTGTTTTTTGCTATAAAACAAAATAAAACAAAACTACTATAATTTTGAGATTGAGTTCATTATGTTTCCTATGTTTTATATAAAATTATAAAAAAAGGAAAAATAACCTGTAAGCACCTTTCCCCCAAACTTTGAAAATAGTACTAAAGTTACCAAAAGGATTTGAAAGATACCATTATAAAAGATGCTTTTTTCCATTGGCTCCATGAATTCTATTCCAAGGATTCTTTCGAGAAGCAACTTATCTTTTATGAAGTAATCCATTTCCTTATGGACCTAGTATAAGAAGACAGTCATATAAAAAAAAATGCAAAATAACTGCTTTCCAAATAATGCAAAAATCAGAAGAAGGGTTGAGTGAATAATACACAGAACACAAAGAAAATCTGCTATGTGAAATAAATTTACTACCCTAGGATTTATAACAAAATTTTCCTTATGAACACTTTAAATTTTAAATGTCAGTAAGTTTTAGGATTACATTTACTGAATATGACAACATGCTTTTCAGGAGTGTGTCACAGCATAAGAATTTCAATAACGAGTAACACAGTAATACTTTGCTGACAAAATTCTCCTACAGACACACTGTGAAGGAATCACCATTTGCTAATAGACACCTAACATTTTTTTTTCCTTTATATAACCTCGCTTTGTCCCTCAACCATACTTGTTAATGTCTATAAATAGCTCTCAAAATCCATCATTTCTAAGCATCAAATTTAACAGATAAAAGAAGCGGGAGCAGGTCACTGATTTGGTTTGGCTGGACGGTTGCCACCGTCACCGACCTTTTTAAAGACCGCATTTGGCCCTAGCTATGTGTAAACGTGGGTATACGTACGTGATCAATGAAGGAGCCAAGGAATTTGTTCATTGCATGGTATGCTTTTATACTCTGCTCCAAAGTACTTGCCGATGAGCTTAACAGTCTGGCAGGGCCATTTTTCTAAGAGAAAAAGAAAAGCAAATAAATACATGTCTTATGGTCTTGGTATTCAAATAATATTAAATCCTGGCAAGATACCCGGAACCACACTCCGTACAGACCCTTACGAGTGTCTCGTGAATCCTGTCGTAGTGCTGCCTCATATGGCCCGAAACTGCAATCTGAAAAGTCTGGACATCTGTGTTGGGGACCAGACCTCTTTGGCTACACAAATTTTCCTGAAAAGTTAAAGGATTTAAATGAAGGTTGAATCTATGAAAAAACATGCCCATCTCAAAAGGAAAACACAACATTTTTCTTTTAGTTGGTGTCACCAATTACAAGATTCAGAAGTCTAGTGAAATGTACTGAACTGAGACACAGTTCGATTTGAGACAGAGATTATAACGGGACATCCAAGGGTCCCATTCCTCTCCAGATTTTACTAATTTCTATTTTATTCTAATTCGTATTTCCCCTATGGTCTTCATATTATCTCCTTTATTTTGTTCTACTTTGGAAAAAAAAATACTAAAAGCCAAGCATGGGAGTGTGTGCCTGTAACGCTGGTACTCTGGGAGGCTGAGGCAGGAGAGTCAGTTTCAGGCCTACCTGGCCTCAGTGAGCCCTTTAGAAACAGCAAATGAGAACATGGCTGAGGACGCAGCTCACTGTGAAGACCCTGGGTTTCATCTCTAGCACAATATACACAAAAGGTTCACTGCCTAGTGAAATATTTAGCTTTCTTTATGATTAGCATTATCACTCTTTAATGAATGCCAGGAAGTCTAGCTTTAGAATACTTTTATAATTGTAAATGGGTTTAAAGAAAAAAAAAAACATCTAAAATACTTTTAATCAGAAAGTACCAATGTATGGATTAAGCAGTGAATTTTACTGAATAGATACCCACTCCAGGTCTCTGCAAAGAGTTAACATCGACATTCATAAACACTTAACATTTTGACCTGCCCCACCAATTGGCCTACAAATATAGCACAAAACTAGGAGCACACTGATTTTTCATATCCTGAGCAATTCTTTATTTCATTATATATTCTGTAAAACATGATTTTAACAACTATTTAAGATTTCACTGTAAAAGCAAATGTTTAATTCATACACTCTAGTTTTTTTTTGTATTTTTCTCTCAAAGTAACTTCTGTGATTAAAAACTCTGAATTAATAAACTGTTTCTATTGCTAACTTTCCTAGAGTTAAATTCATAAAATCAGCCAAAGATTATAAACTCTTAAAAAGCTCTTAGTTGGGGCTGGGGAGATGGCCCAGTGGAATAAGCACTTCCTTGGCAAGCGCAAGGGTCTGAGTTCAATCCCGGGTTCCAGAAAAAAAAAAAAAAAATGCTCTTTAGTACACACTGCTCAAAGCCTTTCTAGAAGGTTTGTAAAAATTTATCCTGGTATCTGTGGATGCCAATTTCACTGTTTTAATTATTAATAAATATTATCTTAAAAAAAAAGCTTTCTAGTTTAAAGAGTCATAGATTCAGTTTTTTTTTATTATGAGTTACAATTTTTTTAGCAGTTTATTAGTTTCTTCTGTTTTATTTTTTTTAAACCTCTTGGCACTTTTCTGCTGTTGTTAAATTTAGTGCTTTCTTTCTTAGCACCTTGCATTACTTTCTATTTTATCAACAGATCTATCATATTTGTTCTCAGCATGTGCCCTAAGTTGTCATCTTTTATTGTTTGATGTAGATATATATTAATAAATATCAATTAATATTTCCTTTTTTGATGTTTTCTAGTTTTTATGCTTTTAATGTGATTCCTCAATCTGAAATATTCTTTTCTAGGTAATTCTGATCTCATTTTTCAAGTTAAAATTCCCTCTACTTTCTTTTTAAGGAAGAAATAACCTTCATATGTTACTTATTTATGCTAAAATATAGTTCATATAAGAACTGCAGGATAAAGTTAGATTCTCTTTACCTATCTATGTTCAGGGGAAATAGTTGGTTTTGAAGCAACTTTCCAAAATGATCTATAAGGGCTATTTTAAAAGGTATCAAAGATCCTAGAATAAGAAAAATCATTTCTCAACTGAAAAACAAAAAGACAGAATACATCCATACCGCTTCTCTTTTAAGATTCATGTTCATTTCTTCCATATTGGTATCAGCATGCCCGTGTATCGATCTGCCGTGAATGTAATACCCAAAACATTTGTAGGATAACAAAAACACCGATATCTATAAAAAAAAGAAAGAAAAAGAAAACAGCAACTCATCTATAAAATAACTTTCTCCCAAAATAATGACAATCAAACTCTTGGAAATATATAAAAGGATAATAAGGTAATAAAGGATAATTTTTTTGTGAATTGGTGCTTCAATAATGAGGATATTCAGGAGAAAAAAAGGATAAGTTTTAAAAGTAAATGGACAGCATATTAAAAATATTTTCCAAGAAAGGAAAAAGCTTTTGATGCATAAGAACTTTGTCAAGGACTATAGGATGAATGAACTATTTGATAGCATAAGAAATTTAGAATGAAATACCACAAATAAAGAAAAACAGGCAGTGAGTATTAACTTGTAGCTCATATGATAACCTCTGGAATTCACAGCCAGTGGAGAATTAATTACCAATCACACCGAATCCCTTTTAAAGCCTCTCTTGATATATTCATAACCAGGGGGCCGGGGAGATGGCTCAGTGGAATAAGCACTTCCCCGGCAAGTGCAAGAGCCTGAGTTCAATCCTGGTTCCGCCAAACACAACACACAACACACAACACACAAAACTATATATATATGTATATAAATATATATATATATATATTTTCATAACTTTTAAAAAGGGAAAAGTAACAACTGTTGCAAGAAAAAGTCAGGAAGTACTTACATTACTCACTGAGCATAAATCAACAAACTGTCGAATTTTATCCTCTATGAATCTCTCATAGAAGCCAGCAAAGAACACGATCTGAAACATGAAGGCAGGGTCAGGCTTACTGGCTCTTAGCATTTCAATCTTCTTTTATAGTCACACTGTAGCATTTAAGAAAAAAACAAGCTCCAGCCGAGAACCCAGCGGCCTCTCACGGCTCCCCTGGGATAAAATCTGCTCCTGGCTTCTCACTGCACCATCAGAGGAGGAAGAAGGGCTTGGGAACTGTGCTAAGTCATTTAGAGCCTATTTTTATTTTTTTTTCGATACAGGGTTTTTTCATGCAGCTATGAATTCTCAATCCTCCTGCCTCAGCATCCGGAGTGCTGGGATACAGTTGTGTGCCACAATGCCCAGCCCATCTTGAGTTTCGTTTTGTTTTTTGTTTTATGAAATAGGGTCTCACTATATAGCCCAGGCCAGCCTCAAACTTACAGCGATCCTCCTGCCTCAGCCTCACAAGCGCTGGGATTATAGGTGTGCGCTACCATGCCTGGTTCTCCATTTTAAATTTTAAATGCTTTTCTGTGTCATTAAAATAAGGTAAGACAAATGTTGGAAGAAAGAAAAGGTCTTCTTAAAATTCAGGATAAGCCAGGGATGTGGCTCAGTGGAGAGCACTTGTCCAGGATAAACTAATGCATTATGGCCAGATTCATGTCTGGTTTTAGAAGGCTGCCCATCTGTAAATACCCAAAGGCAACTTTCTGCTTTTCAAATAATCTCTGACAAAATAGCACCTCAAAATCATATACCTAGTTTTCTATTTTGACCATAGATTCTACTACATATAGTATTCAAACAGGATGGTTTCAAGAACTACATTTAATAACAAAACTTGGGGGCTGGTGAGATGGCTCAGTGGTCTAAAGCACCTACTTAGAACAAGCTTAGCAAAGCACAGGGACCGGGGTTCAATCCCCCAGCACCACATGCCAGCCAGCCCCGCCCCCTGGTGGGCTGAGCTGGCCACACACACACACAAAATAAATAAATAAATAAATAAATAAATAAATAACAAAACTTGACAGGAAAAAAACCAACCAACCAACCAAACAACAACAACAACGTTTTTCCCCAGCACTGGGAATTGGCGTTGAGGCCTTTGCTCTGAGCTATAACTCCAAGCCCTTTTTCAACTTATATCTTGGGATAAAGTCTTGGTAAGTTACTAAATTTCCCAGGGTGGGCTCAAACTTGCATTCCTCTTGCCTTGGCCTCCCAGAGTGCTGGAATTACAGGTGTACACCACCAGGCCCAGATAGAAATTGTATAAATAAAAAGTTCCATATTATAGATATGTTTCAGAGAAGGATAACATTTCCTAACCACTGTCTGCATTCCTAGGCTCTACTCCCCAAACAGCCATTGACTTGATGAGCTCTCTACTCATCTGGTTCGTTCTTACTACAGCACAGCCATGAGCCCCAGAAAGTGCATCCTATGTAGGAATGAACAGGGAATGTACAGAGATCAATGATGATGATGATGATGATGATGATGATGATGATGATGACGACGACGATGATGATTACTATTATCATCTCTGAGACAGGCTTTCTCTACAAAGACCAGGCTGACCTTGAACTCACTATGTACCTGGGGCCTGCCTCAATCTTGCAATCACCTGGCCACGGTCTCCCAAGTGCTGGGCCTGCCTGTGTAGCTCCCCAAACCTGGCTACCCAACAAACACTTCACGTGTATATTTTTAAACCCTTTTAAAGAGCATGAAAAACAGAAGAAAGTTTAAAAATTCAAGTTGAAGATGCTCAGGTGAGGGAAATGACAGAGTAAACAATAAAGCCTGGCTGGTTATTGCAACCTAGAAGAGTTTAGACACATGTTTGAAAATAAAACAGGTCTCCAGAGGAGCTCGCAAGACACTCAAGGAATAAGCACTGTCAGTCTTACAACACCGCCCCAGAGGAGCGCTTTCCTGGCAGCATGATAGCAAAGGAAGAAGCACAGAGGGACATTAGACAGTGGCACCCACCACATGATGACGTGCTGGCCAAGGAGAAGTCTAGTGACACTTCTGAAACTCCTGGACACAGGAAGGGGAGCGTCTCCCTGGCTTTCCTACTGCATCGGCCTCATGGACAGTGGGTGACCAGGCAGACGGAAGTGTCCTGCGGCAGAGCCCAAGAGCAGGCTCCCGGGCTTGAGGACACCACTGCGCCATCACTCCAGCCCTGCACTGCTCAGATCTGCTGGTCTTTTTCTTGGGAGAGATAAAGTTCTCTTTATTTCAGCTACTCTATTTTGCTTTGTTTTTGTTATATTCAACTGAATATGAAAAGCAGCTAGAGGGGGTTCCTTTCAATTCTCCACAATCAGACGCAGGCACACGCACACAGCACTGCCTAGCGATCACATCACTGGTGAGCACCACACCTCATCCTCCTAGTCCTACCTCACTTCAAGTTCTAATTTCTATTTGTCTTCCATTTCTGGGTGTCAACTCTTCTTCATGAGCTCTATCCCTGGGGCTTCAATTTTGGACAAATGTCATTAATTTAAAGTAAGGTTAAGCTTAGAAAGTCAGTTCTTGGGTTATAAACTACCACCTGGATCTAAATCTGCTGGCCTAAGCTCTTGGCCACCGAGGGTGCTCTCTCCTGCACAGTGACCCCCCCTCGCCCCCATGCTGCGGGGTGCACTTCTTTTCCTACTTTCATCTAGCCCAACCTCGCTCTACATAGTATGTTTTTTTCCCTGTCTTCAATAAAACTGTGCTACCATTTTTTTTAAAAAAAGAAGCTCTCTTAAGGGAACTTTAGTTTTTTTTTGGTTTTTATTATTTTATTTTATTTTGTTGAGAAACAAGTAGCAATAAGAGGGGGCTGGTGAGATGGCTCAGTGGTCTAAAGCACCTACTTAGAACAAGCTAAGCCAAGCAAAGCACAGGGACCGCGGTTCAATCCCCAGCACCACATGCCAGCCAGCCCCGCCCCCTGGTGGGCTGAGCTGGCCACACACACACAAAATAAATAAATAAATAAATATTAAAAAAAGTAGCAATAAGACAGTTTCAAAACTGATTAATAAGACAGTTTCAATAAAAATGGCAGAAGGTTTTTTTTTTGGGGGGGGGCGCTCAGGATGCTTCAGGGCAGGTCTGGTTTGGCTTGAGGATGAGGGGATCGAACCACAGCATCCTGAGCTTGACCGCTTTGTTTCAGCAGGCACTTAAACACCTGAGCTAATGGGCAGGCCCCCTAAGGGAACTTTAATACTAAGAGATTTTGTGTAGATAGTAGGCAGACAGTAAGAAGTTAAACCTAGTTTTTCCGGGGGCTTCATTTTATTTGGTGATTGCAGATGTAAAGGAATTTTTTTTTGGTGGAACCAGGGATTGAACTCAGGCTATTGTGCTTGTCAAGGAAGCGCTTATTCTACTGAGCCACCTCCCTGGCCCCAGTTAAAGGAATTTTTAATTACACAGAAAAGCTCTTTCTGTTCATGTGAACAGCTGAAAGCAAGAGAAAGATGTGCAGGTGTTAGTTTTTCTTCTCACTATCTTAACTTTAGGAAAAAAAAATAAGCATAGAAAAAACTTGTACCAGAGCTATGAGACACTGAGGTAGAAAAAATTTACCTTTGAGTTTCAGTCATTTAGTACATAGCAAAATTCCCCAAGCACTACTAGCTATCTGAGTGAGATTAATGGTCTGTAAATACAGGTAAATTGGAAGGTATGCTGCAAGGAAAAGAAAGTGCTTAGCGTAGCACGGCTGTCACAGTCGTTACTTGTCTGGGAGGGGCCTGTGTTTCTGAAGTTGTAGCGTCTGACAGACTCTTCAGAGGCCATCCCTGACAAGAATGAGAACTCTGAAACCACGCTGCCTGGGTTCAAATTCCAGGTCTGCCAGTTCCAGGTAAGCAATTAGTTCACCTTCTGATGCCTCAGATTTCCCCACCTATGAAATGAGAGTGCTAACAGAACCATCTCCAAGGGTTAATTAGGTAAAGATTAAGTAGTTAACATGTGTAATTAATTAACAGTCTCTGGGTTATAATACAATAGAGGACTTAGCTATTATTAGCATTGTTCTTGTCATCTTTTTGCTGTGAAGTCATGATATGGCCAATAGTGAAAGTAATCAATATGCAAAGTTACAGAGAGGCAATGTTACTAAAACGAACACTCCCTACTTACCTGTGTAACTCCAATGACTAGCCAAAGAGCAGCAGATACAGCATACCTCAGGATGCGGCTATACGGAGGTGTGTAGCTGGACGGGCTTCTAGACAGACTGGAGGATGAGTCCATTAATGCTAAGTTCTTAAATCCCACAATCTGAAGTAAAAAGGAAAAATAATTTAACTAAATATGCGTAAAGAAAATGCTGTTTACTGCAAATGAAATATTGCTCTACTTCCCACCAAAAAAAAAAAAAAGTTTGCAAATGACAAAAACTCTAGATAAAAATAATTATTTTAATTAGAAAGCACCTTTCAAAAATATTTAGTTAAGGCATTTGGTTTTTTTCCTCAATATGACTAAAATCCAAATACAATTATTTTGTTCCTACACTGACCAAATGTAAACATTTCTGTTAAAAGAAGAAAACTTTCTTTAGTAAACTACTAATAAACTAATAACCAACCAGCAGCTCACGAGTATTTAACACATGCCATGGACTGTATTAAATACTTTCACACTTCAAAAAGTATATTCCAAATATTTTCTGCAGAATATACATTCTGGTTAAGTAAGTTTGGTCTGCCTGTTACATTCACTTATTTTACTCCGGCTCTTGTAGAATAAAGGTTTTGAGAAGTTTTGAGTAAGGTTTCTATATTATTTTATTGAATCTGGTGTTACATAAACTTAACTGACTAGCAAACTTCATTTTCAAGGAATACCTTCTAAAATCTCAAGAAAAAAGAACAGTGCCACAAAAAAATCCTGAAATGTGAGGTAACAGATAATGTTCAGTAGCTTGATTTAGCCACTTAACAATGCATATGTACATTAATGATACATTTACACTAAAATACGTATTACAGTATTTACTGTCAATTTAAACAAAAGCACTGCCTGGACTGAATTTGGGTTCTGTAAATAGCATGCACATTCTTCTACCAGCTTTAAAACGGAAAGGAAAGAGGAGAAGGGATGACTGAGAGAGAATCCCTGAGAAAATCTGTTGCCCAAATGATTTTTTACATGTCAGTCTCCTAATGCAGAATATTTCTTTTGATAATTCAAACAACATCCAAGGAATAACTGCATATTCACCAGTAAGTGTCTTGTTCAGTTTGAGCCTGTGTTTAGCTGAGAACAGAGGCCGAAGTGGTGTTTGGGAATAAGTTTGTGGGACAAAAATGGACCTTATAAACACAGTGATTCTAATGTAAAGATGAGAGTACAGGTCACGGAGACAGAGGGATTTTTCCAAACACAGACACCTAGGCTCACCTCAAAGCCACTAAGTCACATACTCTCTAAGGGTGAGGAACATAGGTCATTTTGTTTTGTTCTTTAATACAAAAGTTCTCCAAGTGATTCTGACACAACTACTGGTTTAAAAGTCTACTCTTACACTTAGAATGGTAAAATTCATGGAGGAAGGTCCCCCCCCCCCGGTACCAAGGATCAAACTCAGGACCTTACACTTGCTAGGCAGGTGCTTATGCTGCTGAGCTATTGGCCTGGCCCCCATGGTCAAATCCATAGAGAGGAAAAGTAGAAGTGTGGTTGCCGAGAACTGGGGTGAGGGGGAAGGAGCAATGTATAGTGTTGTATGAGTACACAGTTTCAGTTTTGCAAAATGAAGAGTTCAAGTGATGATGGTGAAGGGTCTATACAAAAATGAGCAATGAATTATACACATAAAGACAGTAAGTAGCAAGTTTTTTTAAAGTATTTTCGCTACAAGTTTTTACTTTAAAATTTTTTATATTGTTTTAGGGCAAAAAGAGGAAAAGGAAGAGGTCACCACGGTTTTTTACAAGTCCTGCCTTGTTAATGTCTTGATAACAATGTTTAAGCCTGTAAAAAGAAACTCTTCTACTGTAATGAAAACTAGCTTGGAATTCTAGGAACATTTATAAGATGCCAACAAGTTGCATACAGTTATATCAAACACTTCATACCTCCAGGAAGAAGAGAACGGTAAGCACTTGAAAGAGTGGATTAATTTTTCGCACAGTCTGAATCTCATTCCATTCATTTGCTACAAAGTATGTTCTCCAGATGCTTACGGGAACAGTGGCACTCCGGATGCCACCCTCACCTGGTCAGGGGACAGAATGAGTAGGAGTGCTTCATCACATCTGCACTGTAAGGGGAGCAGAAGAATTCTGGTACAAATGCTTATTTCAATTACCTTCAACAGCCTTTAGAACTTTTCCTTTAGGTCGCTCCCAATCAATAAAGAACACATCTATGGTCATCTGGGATACGAGTTTATGCAAAAACTGCACAGCCTGAGAACACATCATAATACCACTGAAAAGTGTCAGGACTGAGCCTGCTTAGGAAACCAATATCAACTCTTTAGGAAACACTGTCATCACAATAGAACGTAATTTTTTTACAGGTGACTTCACATAAAGTCATTAATACCATTAGGGGGTCACAAAGAGTTCACTGAACAATCTAGAATCTCCAAATTCACAAAACTGCCATATGCCTGTAAATTCACCTTCCTTTTCCTTTCTTTGAAATAGGATATGAAAGAAATAAAGAAACTCCCTCCTCCCCCATTGCCTCGCTGACACTCTTGCCCAGTTCTTATGGATCATCTGACCTCTTCATAAGCAAAAGTAATTTTATAACTACAACTTTAATTAAAGTTTCAAGGTGCTCTCAGTGTCTTGTTTTTCATCTCTGGTATTGAAATTTCAGATTTTAATGAGTGTATTTCTGAAACACATCTTCCTCATTTATGGGAGCAGTATGTTTACACTGAGGCACTCTTCTTGGTAGATGCGTTACTAATTAAAGGATAAAAGCTGTGTACGGCACGAATGTCCTCCTGGGGGAGCTCTTACTCCCATGGGACTCGCTGACACCTACCAGGCACAGTACAACAGGAGGATTTCTACCAAAGCTTCACATATAGGGACAGTGAGCATGACACATGGGGAGGCTCACAAATGTTGGCATAGGAAGAAGACGAAAGGAATACAGTATGGAGATTGAGATAATAACTTCTGTGTTTGAAGTTCTTTAACCCTTAATGAACAAAGAGTGTCACATTGCTGTCAACGCATCCTCATACTCTAAGGAAGAAGGTTGCATACTGAAACATCACTTTATCAAATTAGCTACAACTCATGAGAATCCAAACACTTTTATAGGGTTTTAATAAAATCTATTTAAGGAAAATTGCTTTGAATGAACTGCTATAGAGTCTTCCTAGGTAAAATGAAATAATTGACTGATGCATTCTTTCAAAGCAAACTTTGCACCAAAGCTTTCGCAAGCTGTTTTTTCTTTCTTTTTTCCTCTTTAAGACAAGGTCTCACTGTGTAGCCAGGCTTGCCTCGAGTCACCCGCAGTCCTCCTGCTTCAGCCTCCAAGGCTAGCATTACAGACATGCACCCCCATGCCCTGCTTGGAAGGATTTTAACTTTAAAGACCTACAAGCTTATCAGCAGGCCTTTGGAGTGCAGTCCCTGCCTCTGAAACTCACCTTCAGAGCAAAGGCACATCCTACGTAGGTAACGAAGCGCTCCTCCTGGGCCGGCACTGGCAGCAAAACGGAGATAGACTTCTGCGCCTGCCACACAATTACTTAGTCAATAAAGTCAGGCAAGGTTTTTATTAAACTCAAGTTATAGGTTGAAGACAGCATAGAAGGGGCAGATGATGATGTACTCAATAAAAGCACATGCAGGGAGTGGTGGAGTTCGGGTGTGCTTCAGGTTTGTGCTGCCTGGGATCTAATTCAGTCTTGTGCACACCGGCTGCACCTCCAGGCTAGCCTCAAGACTCTTGGTCAGAAAGGATCCCAAGTAAAAACAGTTCCCTTTATTATAAAGAGCATCTAGCAGTTATTTAAATATTGGCATTTCAGTTAAATTCAGAAACTCACTTACTTTGAAGAAAATAAGCCAATAAAGACCTGTTCCCATTGTGACGATAAAAAAGACATTGGCCAGGTCACCAGCATAGAACACCAGGAATTTCATAACTGTCTGCAATTTAAAAAGAAGAATTATAGCTGTTAAAGACTCCAGCTATTTACTGCTTTGAGCAACACTATGACTTTTAACAATGTATAGTCCAGCCATGTTCTCAGGCGTAGGCTGTTCTATGTATCCACGAACTGCTCAGGTAGAAAGCCAGGGAGCCTTCTCCCACAGCAAGCACCAGGATCCCTATTGCTCGCTCCATTCCAGCAGCCTCTGTCTTCTTTGAAGACTTCTCCCCTTTCTCTGTGTAAGAAAGAGGAAATTGCTCCAAATCTTAGTTGGGAAGCCCCCTCCCAGTCTATCCTCTACACATTCACTAGCCTTAGTTTTCTAAAATGTACATGGTATTGTGTTACTCCCTTTCTTAAAGAGACAAAGACTCCTTAAAACATATATTCTTTAGCCCCCAGGTCCTTCACATCTTGGACCAAAGTGAACCTCTTAGGCGTCCTCAGCTGCTACTTCCCCTGCTTCCCACCACTTCATGAGGAACCACTCCACACTTCCATCTCAAATGCTTTGTGGAATGAAACAAGGACTGATTTATCAAACACTCTTTCTCCTCTCTCCTGCGAACTCTTGCGAGCTCTGCGTGCACAGCCTGGGCCTGTACCCTCACTACGGCAGGCCTGGTGCTGGGGAGTGCGGGCGAGGCAGACACTTGGCCCCAGGGATGGCTGTGGGCTGACCAGATCAGCAGCTTCAGGTGCACATCTCTGGGAAGTCTCTCTTGGCTTCTCAGAACAGTAAATCTCAGCCATCCTGCTCTGATTTCTTAGATTGCTGGCTTTAGAGTAGACGATACTCTGGTTGAACAGTTACTATGCAGCTTTTCTCATGCTTTTCATCAGCAAAACAGAAATAACCCATAAGTTTTGCTGAGCTATACCACATGAGAAGAAAATTCAACCTCTGTCTCAATTTTTAGCACATCTAAAATTGAAACTGAACTATTAATACTTCACAGAGCTACAGTAGGAATTCAATGCATTATTTCACTGGGGAGGCCAAAAACAGGAGGATCACTACGAGTCCAAGCTGTGTAGTGAGACCCTGCACCAAATACATAAATGGAAAAAAAAAATGTATTATTTATGTAAAGCTTAAAAATATGCCTGGTACACAGCAGGTGTTCACTAGATGTTAGACAATGTTTTAAATTTATTGTTTTTTGTTCTTCAGTACCAGGGATCAAACTTGGGACCTTAAACATGCTAGGCAGATGCTTATGCCACTGAGCTGTCTCCCTGGCCCAGTTTTCAAAATTTAAATGAAAAGTTAAACTCTAAAGTTAAACAGCAGGCCGTTGAGATGGCTCAGTGGTGTAAGGGCTTCCCTGGCAAGCACAAGGGCCTGAGTTCAATTCCCAGTTGCACAAAAAAAAAAAAAAAAAAGTTAAATAGCATAAAATGTAGAGAGAATATGTCTTTGATGTTGAGATGGGAAGGTTTTCCTAAATAATATACTAAAAGCAAGTGAGATAGCTGAGTAGAATAAAGCATTTGTCTGGGAAGCCCAAGGGCCCAAGTTCAATTCCCAGTTTCACAAAAAAATTAAAGTTTCTGTTAAAGGACTACCTGAATATATATAACAGATAAATCATTTACAGAAAATATTATAACATAAAAAATCAAAAAGGAGGCCGGGGAGCTGGTTGAGTGACATAAGCACCTGCCTGGCAAGTGCAAGGTCCTGAGTTTGATTCCTAGTACTGAAAAAAAAAATCATAATCAGAAAACTCCTACAAATAAGAAAAACTGAAAACCTAATGGAAAGTGGGCAAGGAATTTAAACAGGTAGTTTACAGAAAAGGGGAGATCTACATAACTAAAAAGCATATGAATGCTAACAAAAGAAACTCAAATGAGATCAGCTAGGTGGGAGGGTGTATACCTAGAATCCCAGGGCCCAAGAGGCTGGGCATTTTAGTGAGATCCTCTCCCAAAATTAAAAAGAAAGAAAAGGGCTGGGGAAACTATAGCCTGGTACAGAGGCACTGGGTTCAGTCCCCATGAGAAAAAAAAGCAACAATGACATAGCAATATATACCAAAATGACTGAAAAAAAGAAAAAAGAAAGGCAGGGAAAATACCAAGTACTGGCAGGACTGGAAGAACAGAAACAGGAGTAGCACTGCCAGTGAAGCATGTAGGTTAGTACACATTGTGGGAAGAAAATGAGGTGTGGATTTACAGTAGCACCTAGCAGTACCTCTCCTAATTATACCCCAGAAAAATTCTAGGCAACTATCTTAAGCATCCTGTAGCTATGTCTTCCAAGGACCTAGAATAGTCAAAAGATAAAAATATGTATCAGAAACTTCTAATATTGTACCTGTAGATCAATCATGGGACTCCCAATGCGCCTCTTCCACCCCGCTGTCTTCAGGAGAGATGATAAAACAGCAAGCCCACCCAACACGCCCAGAGCAATCTAAAAAACATGGAAAAGCAAACTCATTATTATTCTTATGGATATTGAAAAGCACCATGAACAGAAAGCAAGCAGTACTCAAAAGCATTGGGGGTGGGCATGTTGAAAGCACACAGGAATCAAACCGAAGGCGTCCCAAGGGCCCAATGTAGCACAATTTGAGCCAAAGAAACAAACAAAGCAAAACAAAATAATGGATTATAATCACCTAATAAGTATCTCTCCAAGAGCTGCGTGATGTAATACCTGCATAAATTAATGGGGGCCAAGGGCAAGCTTCTCCTAGCAATACAGCTCCCACTCATAAACATTAGGGGAGGAGAAAAATGTCAGCAAGCAAAGCCCCTGCTAGCACTATCTGTAGGCAAGGGGCACCAGCGGACGCTAAAACTGAAGGGTGAAAGCATGCTGAGAAGCGAGAAATTGGCCCAGCTTCTAAGTGTCGCCCCTAAGATTCTTCCTAACTCCAAATGCGAGCGTCGAGGTGAGGGCTGGCAGAAACCACTGCAGCCGCATGAGCAAAGTGGCTGAGCCAGTACTGTGCTAGGCAGTGAGCCCAGTGAGGCCACGGCAGCACTTCTGCAAGGTCTCTGCCAGAACTATAGGATGTTAATTTAATCACGGGAAAATCCAAATTGTGGGCCAAAGTAATCAACCAAGTACTGTACTATTTGAAAGTACTATTTGTACTATTTATGAGGAGGGCAGGCTATAATCCCAGCACTGAGGAGGCTGAGGCAGGAAGATCACTGTGAGTTCAAGGCCAGTCTGGGCTACATAGTATGTTCAAGGACAGCCTGAACTGCATAGCGGGACCATATCTCAAAAAACAAACAAAAAAGTGTTATGGTCCTAAAAGACAAATGTTGGGATCTGGACTGGGTCCCAAAACAGAAAAGGAGAATCATCAATGTACTGTGGTTGCATAAAGCATTAACATTGGGGAGTAAAAGAGTATAAGGCAAATCTACTTTGACAACTTTCCTATATATTTAAAAATTTTTTTAAATTAAAAATTACAGGGCTGGGGAGATATCTCAGTGGTCTAAGTGCCTGGCTGGCCATTGCAAGGACCAGGGTTTGATCCCGGGTACTGCATGCCATGCTGGCTACCAAAACTGGGTGTGGTGACACACGCCTGTAATCCTAGCACTGGGGAGGCTGAGACAGGAGAATCACTATGAATCCAAGCTGTGTAGTGAGACCCTGTATACAATAAATAAATAAGAAAAAAATAAAATAATTTTAAAATCAAAATTACAGTACATTATTGGATTAGGGACACAGTGCAGTGGAGTGTTGACCTAGCATATGTGAGGTCCTGAGTTCAATACCCAGTACCACAAAAGAAATAAATACACACACAAACACACACACAATATGTCTCCCCATTTCCCCTGTATATACAAAGGAATTATTTTAAAACATTAAAATATACTCACATCTGTCTGGACAAATGCTTCTCCTTGATTCATTTCATATTTGACTGAGAAAGAAACCTGACATTTAAAAGAAAACAAATTAGGAATATTAAAATTACATAACAAGCCTATTTTATGATAGAAATATATTTGTGGCTGGATTTGGCTATGAATGCTATATTGTTAACTATATTAGTCGAGTTGACTCTTATAGACAAATAGGTATGCTTTTTGAGATTTGTGCCATGTTATACGTACACGTACATGAAAGAGGGGCTCACGGGGAGGTAAGTTAGAATCATTAATGGTACTTCCAGCTGAAGTAATGATATTTCATTTTCTGAGAGGTTTCCACAACTTTCCAATGTGACTGAACTCGTGCACCAAGAATTTCACAAACACTCACATCCCAAGAAGGCAGACTACTCAGAAGCCTGAGCAAGAGTCCTGGGGATAGCACTGTACAAAGGGACAAGAGAAGGAGGAGCCACTAGAGGGCAAGGAGAGAAGACAGCACGTGGGAGGAGGCAACTACGTAACTGGTAAGTCTGTCCACAGTCACAGAACAGGGAATTTCAGGGTCAACCGCGTAGAGTTAGATATTGCATGTCAAGTTAAAGAAGAAATAAAGCCACTGTATGTGGACTCCACTGCTGATCTTCCGAAGGTTTGTTTTGTTTGTTTTTAAATCTTATTTATTTGGTACAGGGTCTATGCAGCTTGGATTCCTAGTGATCCTGTCTCAGCCTCCCCAGTGCTGGTATTACTGGTATTATTGCTGGTTTTGGTGTCCGGCAAGGCACACCCAGGATTCTGAGGTCGGCACAGCATGCAGTACTGGGGATAGAACCCATGTCCTTGCACTTGCCAGGCAGGCGATTTAGACCACTGAGCTATCTCTCCAGCCTTAAGAGAAGTTTTCAAAGAAGTAAAATGCCATAATCAGACTAAAAACGATGAGAGTAAGCGGTTGGCAAATGAAGGAAAGAAATCTAATGGCAACTTAAGGAGCCCGCAGAATTACAAAATTATAATTTTGATTGGTTGGCTGGTTGCTTGCTTGCTGTAATTTGTTTTACAGAGCTTTTTGTTTGTTTTTTGTACTCAGGGCTTTCACAGTGAGGTATGCCCCTAATCCTTTTTAAATTCTTTTACCTTTTTAGACAGGCTCTTGCTAACTTGCTCAGGCTGAGCTTGTATTTGTGATCCAACCTGAGAATTTTATAAGGAAAAGAAAGAATTGGCAGAGGGTTGCTGAGCAAGGTACTGGCATGAAACAGGATATGGGACTGAGAGCTGTGAATCTGTTAAGGCCAAACAGAAGATGAGCTTAGGCTAGCTAGGAGGGAACTTGTCTTAGAAACAGGAGCAGTGAATGAGAAAGACAACAGCCACAGATATCTGGTGTATTTGAGAGAAAATCTGAAGAAAGATCAGCTGCTCAAGAAAACAAGAACCAAGTTTACTTTCTGTGTGTTAGAGAGCAGAGCGATATCTAGATGCTTAGGACTGACAGAATTTTTATAATAGCTGCCATAGGCAATCCATATGCTTTACAATTAGAATAAATTTAAAATAGACTTTGTCCAAGGTAATGGCATGATTCTCTCAACTCTTTCCGTACTTTGTAATTTTTTTTAAATTTTGTGGTTTTTATTTTCTACGTTGTCTAGAACACTATAGACAAGCACTATGTTTAAGGAAAGATTCAGAAGTGCTTCAGTATTAAAATAAGTACACTCTAGGTTACCTATGAATAATTATTGCAGGATGTTTTAAACCAAGAAGTCTTTGTTAAAGTTACTTAAACCCATTTTTCTGAGTGTTTGGCCTCTCACTACAGTGTATATGGTATAAGCTCAGCCAGTGGAAACTGACTGTAGCACGGTATCAGGTAATACAAATGAAGACAGGAATTTTTGAGAGGAGTTATATTCTGTGCCTGATCTTACTTAAGTAAAGAGCTTGAATCCAACAGCAGCTGAGTGTGAGTCCATGCACAACAGAGAGGACAAAGGCACGGCTACATAAACTGAAACACCAAAAATCAGAGAAGGAAAACAACAGAAATGAGAAGCTATTTGGGACTCTTGGAGCTAAATGATGTCTCTCCCCACCATTTCTCACATTTCCAGAAAAGAAAGGCAACTGTCCATTAGTTTTTAGGAGAAAACAAAAGCACAGAAGGGCTACTCTGTCTCCATCCCTGTCACACTTCTCATCTTCCCCTCCTCAAGACAAGGATGCGCTATCTATCTGACCAGTGAGGCTGCAGGAGGGAGCTAAGCCTGAGTGCTTGTGCAGCCTCTCCCAGGCCCCTTCCTCGCAGGGTGCCCTGCCTTGGAATACACCAAGTCTCTTCCACACACAGACCCTCCCAGCATGCAGGGTCTTCAGTTCTGGGGTGAATTGAGGCTACAGGTCAAAACTATATTCTCTAGTTCATTTTAGCACTACTAGTTATAGTTTTGTTGTATTCAGGGTTTGCAAAGGTATAGATTCAATACAGGATGCATAATTTATAGGACTATTTCATAATATTACCCAAAAAGTCAAATGCAGAAGAGTACGAGATCTGTCTGCACACTAGAGACCCATAGAATCCAATGGAGGGCCTGGACCCCACAGTAGTGTCCTTCATGAGTCCACCTGATGACCTGGAGCCTGTGGCAGTGGACTCCATGAATCCAGCTAGAGGCCAAGAGCTCATGAAAATGTCTCATGCAAGTCTATATCAAGGACCCACACTAGATGGCCCAACAACCATGGGTGGAAGAAGCTAGAAAGTCTGAGCCAGCAGGGGGAAGGATCTGCGCCACCATACTCAGGGATCTGCACTGGAGCCAGGAATAGACTCTCAAGGTGTTACGGCTTGTGTCTAGATGCTCCCCAAAGCCTTACGTGGTCATGGTGGGGGTGGGGGTGGGGGTGGTCTTTTTTACAAGTGGCTGGCGAATGTCACTTATTCATGGTCCAGTGCTGGGATTAAGGGTGTGAGTACTACAGCTGCCCTAGCGCAGGTAGCCTGTGCACAGGAGTCTATTCCCTCCCTGATTGCTTTTGCTGTCTTCTGCTGCCATGAGCAGTTGCCGTTCTGTCATGCGCTACCCTGCCTCATAGCCAGTTTATTCTAGACTGAAACATCTACAAACTGTGAGCTAAATAAACCTGACCCCTTCCACTCTGGGTGTCAGGTATTCTGTATCAGCAATGATAAAAGTGGTTAAGACACAAGGAAAGGACCAGAAATCCCCTAAAGAGAACAGCAGCCATTCTCAGCAACAGCAAGAACCTGAGCTTCTCTAATGAGAAGAGCTGAGTTCCTATCAGGAAAATCAGCGCCACAAGCTTCTCCAGCAACACACCATGCCCGCTTCCAGTTCTCCTTTTACATTGCTGGCAACAATCCTCAGGTGAGCATTCCACATCCAAAACAGTATGGATCCAGCTCAGCTGGGTGTTCTCAGGGGCCTATTAATCAACCCACCACAAAAGCCAGTACTATAAACTTCCTGTTGCCTGTTCAAGTATGTCTTTGCCCAATGGGCTATAAATCAGCATGCACACTATGCCCTCTGCAAATTCTCAATTCCTGGCTTAACTAGACAAGAAGACTACAAGCAAAGTGACAGGAGCAAATAGTAAAGATCTCAGCATAGCCAAGATTCCTACTAAGGATGCTCAAGCTCTAGTGACTCTGCTTTTCAAACACTTTACCCATTGTTACTTTTTCATACACAAGACCTGTAAGAACTTACCTCTTACCATCAGCTAAAACTAATTAAGACTTAACGATGTAGAGAGAAGGGTTTGAAACTTGAAAATGAGATTTTAAAAAAATTATATAAACTACATCAGTACTTTTTTACAAGGTCACTGACTAATACAGAACTTACCTTTATAGCCTGGTTAGAGGGATCTTTGATATCAACATCACTGTAGGCAACTGTGATTAAGGGAGGGTATATGTTTCCATTTTTTGTGTCAGGGACAAGGTGGATACTATTTAAAAGAAAACATGTTTATAGTTACAAAAATATCCAGGTCCTTAAATGTGTATTTATCATTTCTTTTGAATTTAATATAGATTGTCATAGTGATGTCTATAATTGGTTGGTTCTGATCAGTTAGCAGGGATTATAGAAGGTTAAACAAAGACTAATGGTAACAACTCAAGCTAATCCTAAAGGGCCAAAACTTTAATGTTGAAGTATACCCTCTGAGGCAAATCTGAAACTATTTAGATTCAGGTGCTACACAGGGTATAAATGAAATTGCTGAAGCACTGTGAACAATTTTAAAGGAATACTGAAAAGAGCAGAGCTACGTGATGCCTGAAGAAAGGCAGACAATATTTTAACTTTCAAGAGAGAAAATTATTTCCAACTAATGCATGTGTCACATCTAGCACCGCTTATGGCGTAAAGTAGGGCACACTCTGCCAAGTACAATGCACTAGTGCTGCACTAGCTCAAGCCAGCAGGAGAAGAGCTGGCAGGGTTTCATCAAGAACAAGCGAAGCCTAACTAGGTTTCGTTCCATTTTCATTAGGGACACCACAGTCACAGACTTGAGGGAATGCTAAAAACGGAATACACTTAGATTTCAGCAAGCTACATGACAAAGTTTTCGTGCTGTCTACCTCATAAGAATAGCATGAAAATCAAAAGGAAATAATAGCCAAAAATAAAATAAAAAATATAATAGTGTAATTAAGATGCCTCAGGCCTGGGAGATGGCTTAGTAGAATAAGCGCTTCCCTGGCAAGCACAAGGACCTGAGTTCAATCCCAGATTCCGGAAAAAAAGAAAAAAAAATGCTTCCAAGTGCCAAATTAAAATAACATGAAGGTACTGATTTTTGATCAGTAAATCTGTAGTACACATAAAGTACTAGAGTAGAAGTCAGTTAAAATCTTAAGAGATTGGGGATAATGTCATGCTGGAAAAAAACAGAAATATGGGCTGCATGGTTTTCCTCTAAGTTAGGATCACAGGGTATCCCAGGTCAACCTAAAATACCCCTGAAAAGAAATGAGAATGGGAGAGGCTGAACTATCCTCAACCATTCAGCAGGCTCTTTTAAAAATAGCCCTTTCAGCTCCTTGGTGCTTGCAATGGCCCGCTCTCGGTTCAGCATGTGTTGTGTCATCTAGACTTGAGTTCTGGCCAGGCGCCTCAGGTCCATCCCATATAACTCACTCCCCAAGCCTTTCATCTTTATGGTCTATGCCAATCTATACACATTATTCTAATTCAATTGTCCCGAACATTTTATCTGTTACTAGGAAACACTTTCATTATAACATCTTCCAAACACTCCAAGCCTAACAGCCATCCCACTAGATACCTGTTTACCTCAGTGATATCTGGGTAGCAATTCGAATTGCTCTCGGCTGATTCCCTAAGTCATTTTCTCGTCCGCTAACTGCATCCACTAAGAAAATGCGCCGAGTCAGAAGCCACTTGGTGGGGCTACTATCTTTTGTTATAGAAAGAAGAAAAAGATGGAATTTAAAAGTTTTCAAATTATTCAAGATGACTTTCAAGAAGTTTGTTGAACAAATTTACAATAAAACATTAATATTCTTATGGGTTCAAAAAGCAAATGCTCTAAGAAATTTCAAGATAAAGTCCTTTTCCTACCTCACTTGAACGTCTTCTGAAGTTTGCATTAATTTAAATAAAAATTACTTGAAAAGTTAAATTTTATAGCATGGGAAACAACAAAATAAATGTGTCCATAATGTAAAGCAATGCCAACTTGAAGAAAAAGCCATAATTATTGTTCTAATTTTTTTAGCATACACTTTTTCTTTTTTTCAGTTCTGGAGACTGAGTTAGGCCCTTGTGCATGCCAAGCAAATGCTCTACCACTGAGCTACATCCCCAGCTCTCTCAGGGTACGTTATTAGCAACAGTGTAATTTCCTTTTCCTTTGTGTGTGTGTGTGTGTGTGTGTGTGTGTGTGTGTCTGTGTTAGGGTTCGTTTTTTTGAGGAGGCCAGTATTTTGGATATGGTCTTATCTAATTGAGGCTGGCCTTGAACTCTCTATATAGCTCATGCTGGCCTCAAGATAATGGTAATCCCTGTCTCAGCCTACTGGAGTGCTGGGATTATAGGCATGCCCCAGTATACCCAGCATGTAGCAACAGTATAATTTCTTAAGAATAGCCCTGACAATGAAATTGTACAAATCCCTAAACATACTAGCAATCTCATGTGATATAATTAATAAAGCTGTGTAACAGAGAATTCATAGTCTTTCTTATAATCAGTGGTTTGTTAAATTATCATATTGGCTGATTTCAGCCCAGAAAAAGAATGACAGGTATGGATACCTTACCTTGATTCACAAACATTTTATAGTGTTGAAGATTTAAGTTTAACACAGGTACAGCCCAAATATTTTGTTGATTGCCATCAGTATATTCAAGGTAAACATCATAAAATACAGGAGTGGGAAAGTCAGTTAGGATCTTAGAAAGAGAAATCTCACACTGGAAGATACAATTAAAAATAAAAGGATTACAAATGAAAAGCAGAAAACATTTCTAGCTCTGTTACGGGTTATATCTAGGTATCTCCCCGAAAGCCTCATGCACTTGTGGGGTGGACTGCTAGAGTTTGTGATTAATTCATGATCCAGTGCTAGGAATATGGGTGAGTACTACTGGGATTATGGGTATGAGTACTATCCTGGCCTGGGACAGACAGCCTGACTTCAGTGTAAGGGAGACAGACTTGCTCTTGGTTGCCATTGCTGCTACTGCTCCTCCCATTCGCTCTTGCTGCTTTCTTCTGCCATGTGTCACTCTGCCTTGCAGCCAGCTGAGTATGGATTGAAATCTCCACTAACCGTAGCTAAATAAACCTTTCCTTTCTTCATTTTGGGTGTTGGGGTACTTTGTCCCAGCAATGAGAGAAGAGTAACTGAGATCATCTCTAATATTTAGTTTTGCAAAATAAACTATCTTGATTAAATGCATTTCTATGCAACTTCAAAATATGAACTTATAAATACGATTCTTTTGTAAGGTCTCAACACAAACTAATAATAAAGAGCTGTTTTCTTTTCTTTTTTTTTTTTTTTTTGCTGTTTTGTTCTTGACCTACATAATATATATGGTGAAGATATGCCTTCATTTTTTAATATATGTTTAATACACATGATTGAAAAGATACAAATACTAGTCTGACTCTATGGGACTCAATTCTTCCTGTTGATGTAGAATTTGGCTAACCTTAGTAGAGCTCAGCACATCTTCTACTGTTCTTTACCAGCCTACGCTGTCCACTCATACTGATCTACTGTGGTCTTTAACTGTTCCATGTCATTTTCTTTGACACTACCAATGTGGACTGTGCCTGCTATTTCATTCACAACTAAGTTCTTCTGTCCAACTTCTATTCATTATATAAGCCCAAATATCACTCTGTGAATCTTTTTTGTACTACCCTAGGAACTAGTACAGTTCTAACTTACCACCTTCCTTGCAATTTTCTGTTTGGCAGGTTTGTTAGTTACTGTGCTATGAACTATGCAAGTAAAGGCTAGATTCAGTGGAATGTTATAGCTTTAAAATCTAACCAAATAGGGGCTTTATTTAATGTAAATAGTTTATTTCATGTAAGACTGAGTAAATGATATAATCTTTTTTTTTTTTTTTCTTTTGGTGGAACGGGGGATTGAACTCAGGCTCTTGCGCTTGCCATGGAAGCACTTATTCCACTGAGCCATCTCCCCGGCCCCTAAACGATCTAATCTTAGTGAACACCACTTCTTCACCTGTGAAGCACAGAGAGTCAGTATGTTATTTTATGGATAAGCAGCAGGAGCAGATACTTAAGTACTTGTAAACATAGGTAAGTACTGACTCTGGTAGCTCACAGTAGACACAAAGTAACATTTTAGAAAGCACACAAAACAACATAAAGATCACTTCTGACAAATGAACTTAAATTTCTGTTGATGGTAGAGAATTTAGAAAACATAAGAAAACAAAATTCATCTTTAATTCAATCATCCAAAGACAATCACTGTTCTTTTCTTCCAACCTGTATTCCATGATAGTATTTTTCAATGTGGTTTTGTGCTATGCATGTTATACTTATACTTGAGTGAGAAGCAATTTTATAAACCACTGAATGTTTTTTCAAAATATTGCTCTGTACAATAATGTCAAAATAAAAGGAGATAGCAAGAAAAATAAAGATTTGGACAGAGAGGGGAAATTACAAAGGAGAAGTGTGTGTTTTTACTTGTTATTGGCGGGTATAGTGAACAGGAAGTAACACTCTTCAGTCACTAAAATTAAAGCAGTATTTTTAACTTTATCCCCAAAGGCTCTTATGTTGTATTATTTTTAAGACCTCTAAGCTTAGAAGCAGATAAACAATTAATTATGGATTTCTAACACTGTATGATGTTTAAGATTCTAGGGTCTGAGGTTATGTATATTAATCAATGGTAGAGCACATGGCTAGCATGTGTAAGGGCCCCGAGTTGAAACCCCAACATTTTATTAATGTATTTGGTTGTTGTAGGGCCTTGCTATGCAGCTCAGACTCACGGTGATCCTCCCTCTTTCAGCATCTCCAGTGCTGGCATTACAAGCATGGGCCACTACACCCAGACTCTGGCAGGCTCAGCCTGCCCTGGGGGAGGGGCTAGCACTGCATGTGGTAAAAGGGATCCACTCGTGTGGTCCCTGTGCTTGCCTAAGTAGGCACTTTAGCCCATTGAGCTATTTTGCCAGTCCCAGAAACCCCAGCAATTTAAAAAAAAAAAAAGAAAAAAGATTCTATAGATGACAAGGTAGTTTCTTCATGCTAATTAACATTTTCTGTACTCAAGTAATAAAAATCAAAGAAATAATTATTAACAAAAATTCCTAATTTCAAAAATTCACATATTATTCCAATTATTGCTGGTGTGATATTTTCAAAGACAAAGCTAAGCTATACTGTGTAATACAGTTCCAACTTACATTCTGTTGATAGGTTGTTCCAAAGTAATAAGCAGCATTGAGTCTTGCTTCCGTGTCTGGACAAAGCTACATAAAAAAAAAAAAAAAAAAAAAAAAAACCCCAATAAATGTCTCTCACAAATATTTCCTTTACTTAAGAGTCAAAGTTCTCCAGATCCCACATGGATATATGCTACAATGTATTAAGGGCATGACAATTTAAGTGAGTATCTTTGCTATAAATTGAAGTCATAACTTAAAAAAATACTTTTAAGAAATTCCAATTTAAAGCATCAGAGGGGGCCTGCCCATTAGCTCAGGTGTTTAAATGCCTGCTGAAACAAAGCAGTCAGGAGCCAGGGAGATGGCTCAGTGGAATAAGTGCTTCCATGGCAAGCATAAGGAACTGAGTTCAATCCCCGGTTCCACCAAAAAAACCAAAGCAGTCAGGCTCAGGATGCTGTGGTTCGATCCCCTCATTCTCAAGCCAAATCAGACCTGCCCCGAAGGCATCCTGAGTGCTCTCCCCCCAAAAAAATCAAAAAGCATCAGAAAGAAATCTACAGTATGGATACAAAAGAAAGATCATTTTGTATTTATATATACAAAATAGAATAAATTTACAGCTACTTTCGCTTAATTCAATGAGAAGAAAGAGGTGTACTAACAGTGTTTGGACAGAATATCCTGTCTGCTTCCTGTACTATGGATAACCACTAAGAAGATAATAATGTACAGTGTATTATCAAAACTGTCCTATTAGTCAGCTGTGAAACTGTCTCATTCATATTTATTTCTCAATAAAAATTAAAAAAAAGAAATCTACAGTATGTAACTGCTATTTCCAAGCAACAATCTAGTCTTTTGTTTGTCTCTGGCACAGGCAAAAATGAGGAAGAGCAATTCTTCAGCTAGAATCACACTTACCTGTAACACACCTCCTTCTAAAGTCTGCCATTTAAGAAAATTTCCTCTTATATCATAGGTGGCAGCAACAAACTTCAGTTTTGAATTCTGGATGAAGAGAAACAACAACAACATTGTCAAATATTCTGACAGAATATTTCTGTATTTTTATATTTCTATAAAGACGTTTTTATTATTAATTCTTTTTCATTATTGACTGACTTTGGTTGAAATATTCAATTTCAAGTATGTTTTGAACCTAATTTAATCTATCTCTACGATTACATATACCTAAACCACCTGAGCTGGTTTTTCTGCATGAAAGTTACTACCTCAGAATCGAGGGGCAGCAGTTGAGACAGACAACCTCCTTTCAGGTCTGCTGAATGGGGGGAAGGGGGAGTGGGAAGTAGAGATTGCTTCTTCATTCTAGAAAGCTTAAAGGTCAGAGATGAGAATTAGGATCTGCGACATGCTAGAGAAAGTCACAGACCCTCGATCTTTCCAAGCACTTCAACAAGGACAGAGACTGCCTTGTATCTGAAAATACTCCTCTCAATTGCACAAGTACTACCTGCTTCTATAACCATATAACCCAGAAGCATCCAAGTACTAATGTAGATAGCGATGATCATACCATCTAATTCCAACAAACAGTTAACATTTTTATTTGGCTTAGTAATTAAATTTTAAAAAATGGTCTTAAAGAATAAAAACGTGACGAGTAATTTTCTTACTACTTTTTGAAGTGGCAAATCAAATTGTAGATACGCTCTAATGATAGAGTGACCTGTACCTGGTTTTGTTCTTTAAAACTGAAATCTGTTGGAAGAGGTGTACTGCTGAGTATCTGAGGGGCCAGGCCTGACTGCTCTCCATAAAACAGCCAAGGAAGATTCTGTCTCCTACAAATAATTGCAATTGTTTTAATAAAAGGAAAGAAATACTTCTTAGTCGTTGTGAAATGAACTGCACGGAATTAAAATGACATTCCATTGGTCAAAATGTCCTCACCAAAATGAAATGGAATGCACAGTATTCAGGCCAGCGGTACTTTCAAAGATGAACTGAAACAGTCCACATGCGTCGACAAGGGCAGAGTCATAGGAATTCATGTTCATCACACACATGTTAGCAAGAGCTTGGCAAGACGTCAGGTTGGCATACGCCTAAGAAACAACAGCAACGACACACACCACAACATTTTAGCTTAAGCCAAAGTCAGTATCAAAATTACGATTTATTTTATCTTATTAATTCTGTTATTTTTATCCTTTTGCTTTTTAGTACCTTTCCTCTAGCTTAAGTAGAAAAGAAAGTCCCTATAGGAAAAAGACGTAGTTTTATTATAAATCTGAGGCTAAACTATAAAAAGTCAAGCATCTGAAAGGGCTGAATACTAATTTATAACATTCTATTTCCAAAAAGCAATTATGTAGAATATTTGTAATTAAAAATAATATTAGATCTGACATATATAAATAAATCTAACCTTTTTTTTTTTGGTGGTACCAGGGATCAAAGTCTGGACCTTGTGCTTGTCAGGGAAGCACTTATTTCACTGAGCTACCTTCCCAGCCCAATCTAACCTATTTTGTTTTAAGTAATTTTATGAACAACCAATAAGATCATCTGCTGAGTTCACCTCTCAATTTTCTGTTTTTCCTATGAAGAAAATACAATTCCATTTTCAGTTAATCAAGTCAAAAACCTTAAACCTTAAAAGAGAACTTAGTTCCACTGCACACACTTCAACCTCAGAAGTAAATGCCGTTGGCTCAGCGGGCCAGCAGCGGATGCTTCTCCCATTCCTGTGGGACACGCCTGCCTGCAGGGCTGGTCTCTCAGATTACAGTAACACTAACCCAGGAGCCTCCCAGCGCTGTTCTCACCCTGACGAAATCTATTATCATGCCCTAGGACTTGTTTTTGAAAGGCCTGAAGTTAGATCACATCTTTGTCTGTCCCAGCACAACCTTGCTGTCTCCCCCAGGCCAGACTCTAGGTCCTCATCAGAGTGGCTCCCGCACTGCTGCCCTCTTTCTGGATTCTCTGCTCAGGCAGCATCAGCCAGTCAGTCCAGCCTCCTTCCAGTTCCTGAAGCATGCATGTGCCACTAACTCCTGCTGTGACTTTGCTACTGTGGTGGTCCCTTCTTAAAACACTCTCCCCAAGATACTTACATGGCTCACTTGCTCTTCTTTCGGGTTCTTGCTCAAATATCATCTGCTCAGCAATGCTGGTCCTGACCATCACATATAATAGGGCACACCCCCACTCTCTCTGCTCTTCACCTTGATTTACTGCCTTCACAGCTTTCAATACAAACTGGTATTTACTTACATTACAACTCTATGAGGAATATTTTTCTTTTTCTACAATTATCTAAGCTGATTAGGAGTAAGGTCTGGGGCTGGCCAGATAGTTCAGCGGACTAAAGCACCTGCTTAGGCAGATGCAGGGACCAGAGTTCAATGCCCAGTGTGCTGTGCTGGCCCCTCCCCTGGGGCACCCTGAGACAGGGATTGAGGCTGGGTGTAGTGCCTGCCTGTAATCCCAGTGCTTGGGAGGCTGAAAACAGGAGGATCACTGAGTCCGATCTATGCAGTGAGACCCTGTAGACCCTGTACCAAACACATTAAAAATTTAAAAAAAAAAAAAAGAGTAAGGTCTGGCACACACTTAGCCATCAATGAAACTCACTAAATGAACAGATCCCATGCAAATGTAGCTAAAGAAGCTTAGAGATGTTTAATCTGTTTGTATTGAATAATATTTTCTACAATTATTCTCTTTCCATCCATTAGAAAGGGTCTATTCTTCTTAGAGAATATGACCAAAGCAATAAGTCTAGAGAGCAAACTTTATATGGATAATGAATGGCACAATTCTTCAAACTGATGTAAAACATCTTTTAATAATTCAAACTTACCCAACATGCAGATGCTGCTGACTGCAAATACTTTGCAAACCATTCTGAAATGAAAGAGATGCCCTGTGAAATGAAAAGAGAAAGTTCAAATGAAGATCCCTTGAGCTTATACTGTTAGAAAGATATTAATGTGCATACTGTTAAATAAAAATGAATAGTTATTTCTTTAATGTTGTGAAAGAAGTACAATGAAGCAGATGTCTATTGTAGATTAAAGGAAACTAAGAAAGACTAGTGGCAGTGTGGGATCCTTGCCTGGGTCCTGACCCCCCTCCTCCAAAACAGAGGGCAGGAGCAAACGGCACTATTGGAAAAACTGGAGAAATCTTGCAGGGATCAGCTAATTCTATTGTAGTATTTTAAATTTCTTAAATGTGATGCTATGAAAATGCCCTTACTGCTAGGAAATATGGTGAGGCATTTAGAATAAACTATCATTATGTCTAGAACTCATTTCAAATGGCTCAGGAAAAAAAAGTTTGTGTGTGTGTAGATATAGATATAGATATAGATATAGATATGGATATGCATTTCTTATATTTGAAGTTATTGGTTCTAGGACCCCACAGGTACCCAAATCCCCACATGTTCAAAGCCCTTCCCTAAACAGCCTCCATGGACTACTGGAGGAGACAGACTCAGCTTTATTCATTAAGATCCCAGATTCTGGTGGGAGGGACAGAAGGGAAGGCAATGTAGAAAGAAATAAGATGTGTTATCTATGTGTAGCAACTCCCCATGATGAACGTAATCATTCTCTATGTAAATTTGTACGAATAAAGAGAAAATTTTAGAAAAAGATCACAAATTCCGCCCTCACTGTTGCTATCCCTCACATCCCTCCCAATCACCATTTCATGACGATAATTAATGAGCAGATCACAGTCTATCTGCCCAAGCTGGGCTGGTGTACTGGGCATCTTCAATGTTCATTAGTCACTAACGCTTCTTCTCTCAAGTCTATGATTTCTGCAGTTGCAGTTCGTCTGCCCCCACTTCATACCCACACCTGTTGTCACCCTTTGTCTCAGCAAGGGCTCAGGTCCTAGTTCTCAGTGTTCTCATCTACAGAACAAGCTGGCTGGCTATGACCAATCCAACTTTCTCCAATGCTCACTATGGATTCATGTTGCAGCGCAGCGATTCTTATGCCTCATTTACAGACAATAAACTGAAATTTAGAAGTGGTAAGACTGGCCCGAAGTCCAAAGATACAAAACTAATGACTGGAAAATCTAAGGTTCCAATCTCTGAGATATGATGCTCTGAACTGTATTAAACTACCTGCTTTACAAGACCTGTATAGGGCATTACTTCCTATAATTCCTTTTTTTTTTTCCCCTATAAATTCCTTGAGAAAGGAGTGAGCTAAGGTATGGAAGTCAGCACCGATAAATTATAGTGATGAATTTTTAGAGCAATGTTTTTTACATTAATAATTTGTTTTAGAGGGCCCATCAAATAGCTCAGTGGATTAAAGCGTCTGCAAGCAGGCACAGGGGCCAGGGATTCGAGCCCCAGGCCTGCCAAGACCCTGAACATCCCATAGACCCTTCCCTAAAATACAAAAAAAAACCAAAAACCAAAAACAAAACAAAACAACAACAAAAAAAACAACTGTTTTAAAGTGATTTGCACATAATTGTTTCTCATTGTAGTATGAAATTAAATATCAAAGAAACAACTGTAGAAAGATCCTTCGTAATCAAACAAAAATGTAAAACATACTTACAGGCTCTCCCTGGCGTGCAGCTGAAATTACACGTGGAGGAAAACTCCCCGAGCCGCTGAAACATAATCCCCCTGTCTTCATGAATAATAAGGGAAAAATAGCTTATTTATGGAAAGGTACAAGCAACTGGATTAAAAAATATATACTTTATCAATTCAATTATCCTTACTAGAACATTAGGCTCTGCACATTCACAGGACCTGGTAGCATTAATGAACGTTGGTTCACATCTGACACATCTGTTCAATATAACAAAAATAATTTTCAATACATGAATTATATTAAACTAATCTAATCAAGGACTTGGTTTCACACATACTAGATTAGAACAGATTCATCCAACTAGACAATTACTTAAGCAAATATTAACATTGATTCAAATTTTATATCACTCTGTTTCAACAGAATCTATAAACCAAATTAACCCCCACAACAGAAGACTCTATTCAGAAAAACAATAAATACTCTAAGTAGCAAAGATGGTAAAGTCACTCACTAGCAAAAGACCCCAACAAACTCAGTATAAATAAATCATTTTTAAGGAGTTACATGAAATACACTTTTCTTACCTGTTACAAACAAAAAGTCAGCATAAGCTGAAAAGATGAGTCCATCTACTGCTTCACCAACCCTACTACCAGCATGTTCACCGCCTCTACTCATTTTAGGAAAATACTTCCGATTTTCCTTCATGGAAGAGGACAGAGGGAGGGAGCACACTGAATGTGTGGTAACTGATGGATTCATACGGACATTCACTAAAAGCAAGATGGTTCGAGATTCACGTAAGATGGTATTAATGAACTTGCCCCCAGCAACTCTACTTACGCATTTCCTAAAGCGTTGGCTCTTGTGTAAGCATTTTCATTTCCATCACAAAGCTCACAAGTTGCTTGAGATAACAAGGATCCATTGAGGCCTCTTTCCACTAAAGGATTCAGAAGCAAAATTAAGGTGTAATTCAAGTGAACACATAAGCTTCAGATACTTAGAAAATATCCAATAAAACTCACTTGTAATTACTCTTACAGTAATTCTCAAAATTATTACCTGCCTACTCATCTGCACTATGGAGATGCTGTACTTAATTAGCATCTGTTAGTATAGAAAACTGAAAACATACAGCAACTAATTTTCCAAGTCATCATTAATAGTTAATCGATAACGTTTTTTTCCTCAAAACTTTTCTTACCCTTTCCTGTCACAGTGGAATGGGGAACAATTTTCATTGACTGCTGCTAAGTTTCTATAACTTGGATGACTCCTGGTAATGTCTAAAGCTTTAAATTCACATACTCTACAACAGTACCTCAATTTCATTTTTAGACACAAAACTGAAAGACCTCACATGTACAGACGAACATTCACTGAAACATTATTCATTCAAAAACAGTATGAATATCTGAATAGTAAAATGGTGATATATGCATACAATGAAATACTACAGGACAGATTGAAAAGAACAAGGTACATCTTGTATACATAGTGTTAGCTGAAATAAATATGCAACAGAACAATATTTGGAATATGAAATATTAATCTGTATTTCTTGTATAATAGTTGTATTTCTTGTGGCTATTATGCATATCTTTATGACAAACTAGGAAAATAAATTCTGGAAGAACACATATACCCCTAAAACAGAAACAATTCCATGGGGTAAAAAACCAATGGAGACTCAGCATAGGGAAGAATGGTCTAGGAAGACTTTGGATGTATATATAAGGTTTTTGCATAGGGCTATAAAATACTTTTGACAAAAGTAAAGATGAACTTGTTCCTCATCCAGTCGTCTCCCTCAGGAAACAGTTGTTTGACATTTACTCAGGCCCTAGCCCTGACAGTCTCCTCTTCTCATACTTTGCATTAAAAATAAAAACTAAGCTGGGCATGGTGGTGCGCATTTGTAATCCTAGCACGACAGGAGGCTGAGGCAGGAGGATCATCACAGGTTTCAGTTCCACGTGGGCAAATCAGAGACTTCAATAAAATATAATGAAGGCTGAGGATATAGTTTCTCAATATGAAAGCCCTAGGCTCAAACCCTAGTATACAATGAATGAATAAACAGATAAATTTGAAATAAATCAGTAGGCAAATCCTGTCAATTGTCTCGTCAAAACTTACTCAGAAGCTGAATATTCTAATTCCACAACGAATACCATGGATCAAGTACCATACCCTATGACTGGGTCTCTGCAACAGCTTCCTGACTGGTGTGCTGGCTACATGTTCCATAAGGAAGCCAGAGGAAGCTTTTTACAACTTAACTAGGATCAGGTCACTCCTCTGCTTAACACCTCCCAGGGCCTTCCAACAGCGCCATTTCTAAGGCCTGCTTCACAAGCCTGAAGATCCGATCAGCATCACCCTCAGCTGTGCGGATCCCGCGGCTCGCACTCTCCTCTTCCTTGGGCCTGCTGGATCGCTGCCATCGCAGGATCTTGGCATTTGGAATTATTTCTGCTTATTGTGAAGCTCCTCTGTCATCTCAGGGCTCTGTCCCTCATTCCCTTAAGGTTTTGCTCAGATGTCCCCTTTCCGGAGGGGCCTGTCATGATCATCCCTGTAGTCACACCCTATGGCCCCTCCTTTGCTCTGCACTATGGAGAATTTCAAGCACGTGACAGGGACCTCTAAATAGCAATACCACGTTTTTACAGCTGTCACCTAATCTCAAGGGGACACAAGGTGCCAGAGAAAGCAGCGAAACAAAAATAAAATCCCAAAATGTTCTTTCTTTTTCTGACCCACAAAATTTCAAGAACATGTGAAGAATTATAAGGTCAACTGCATGGCTAGAGTAATAGAATACGATGAGTGGTTTACTGTGTGAGATTTCTCAGGGGCTCTTATTGTCTGGCTCAGGCTGCCTTAGGGGCAGGTCTGGTAAGGCATCTGGTGCTGGGGATCGTGGTCCCCTGCATCTGACTGAGTTTGCCCAAAAAGGCACTTAAACAACTGAGCTAACCCGCAGGCCCTCTTAATCTAAATTCATAATTAAGTCTAATTTATTTTCATTTTCCCTTAATCCTAAATTTTTTTAATACTAAAAGTTTTGGTAGAAATAACACATCTTGAAATGTAATAAATTTCAAAATTTATTTTCTTTTTGGTACTGGGGATTGAGCCAGGTGTGGCAGTGCATGTTCGTGGTCCCAACACTTGAGAGGCTGAGGCAGGAGGACTGCTAATTGGCCAGCCCGGACTATAATGTGAGATCCTACCTGAAAAAAATAAGACAAAACAAAACAAAAATTTGCTATGTAGCCCATAGGATTTTCTTTAGTACTATCCTAAGAATCCAATCCTCAATTGTGAGAATCAAGTTAATCTTTTCAATAGAAGGAACAGTGCTAAGCAAATCACTAAAACTCAGCAGTACATATGACAGAATGTCTTTCTAAATATTTCAGAATATTTTAAAATGCTCAAGTGTTTGTCAAGACATGTAGGTAAGGACCTCATTAACCCTCAGTCTGAGGACTAAGAGAAATCGCACCCAGCAGCCTCCATTCCCACCACTCAGTCTCCCAGCCCTCCCGGGAGCCAGGATCAAAGCTCCACCAGCAGCTACTCCAGGAAACCCCAAGTGTGGCATAGCGATTCCTGGAGGGGTAGACCAAGGTTCATCGGGACCAGTCTCCTCTGGTTAGATTTTAAAATTGTTTACATTCTTTTGTTTTAGTAAAGATTTAAAAAAAAAAAGCTATATTTTCACTTCTTCACTGTACATGAACAAGAAATGCCTAGCTGATGAGCTGTGGGACAAAGATGACTTTCATTTTAAATTCTGATAAATATTGTCAATGTATTCTCCAAAGAGATTGTACCAACTTAAAATTCCCAATAATACAGAATATTTCCCTGTATCCTTACAAATGTACTGAAAAAGATAAAAAGGTTTAACAATATTGTCTGAGGTAAAAATAAAATTTCACGGTAGTGGCTTTTCTTTTCTTCTTGGTACTGGTGATTGAGTTCAGCACCTCGCACTTGCCAAGCAGAGGCTCTTACGCCGCTGAGTGACATCACCAGCCCTTTTTTAATTTGAGACAGGGTCTCACTACATAGTTGAGGCTGGCCTTGAACTCACAGCCGCTCTTCTGTGTCTGCTTCAAGGGCTGCGAGTGCTGGATTCCAGGTGTGTGCCTTTTTGGTTTTGGTGCTATCTCCCCAGCCCCTTCTCAGAGTATTCATGAATTTATTGGTCTTATCTTTACTGATATAAAATGCCACCTTTTATCATACCAAATTCCCATATATGGTACACTGGAGTCTAGGCTCGGTTCCATCAAACAGCCTGTGTCCTCATGCGCTAGCTACAAATGTGATTACAAAAGTCATAAAGCATGAATAAGATCAGGTGGTATGGTTTCCCTTTCCCTCAGAATTTTCTTTTTATATATATTTCCTGATAAACTTTAGAATCTGTATATTCCTCTGAAAAAACCAACCCTGGTAGAATTCCTTAGCTTCCCTTGAACTATGCACATTGCTGGGAGAGTTTATAGTAATATTTAATATTGTTGTATAACGTTATAATATTTAATATTCTCACCCTCAGTGAAGAATGTATTTTTATCGTTAAGGCCTGATTCTATGTCCCTCAACAGCAAAGCCTTCAACTGTCACTTTTTTCTACTGTAAATGAAATAACTTCCTTCTGTCACTTTCTAGTTGAGGTTTATTTCTGGTTTTGGTGCCGAGGATCGAACCCAGGGCTTCCAGCTTGCTATGCAAGTGCTCTACAGAGGGGCCAAATCCCCAGCCCTTCCATCACATTTCTAAAGGACTACTTTTTTAAATAGGAAGGCTATGATTTTTGGATATTTTTGTATTTAGTTACTGTTTATAACTTTCAGTAGTGATTACTTTGAGTCTGTCTTCTTCCCCTTCCTTCCTTCCCTGTTTATTTTTTTGTGGCACTGGGAATTGAATCTTGGACCTTGGCACTGAATTACATCATCAGCCCTTTTTCTAGGCAGGGTCTTACAACTAGCTAAACTGCCCCAGCTGAGCTCTAACCTGCAGTCCTCCTCTTTTGCCTCCCAGAGTGCTGGGGTTACAGGTGTGGGATGCCGAGCCCGGCTCCTTCAGGTTTTCTAAACAATTCCTTTTTTTTTTTTTGGAGGAACTGGGGATTGAACTCGGGCCCTTGAGTTTACCAGGGAAGCACTTATTCTACTGAGCTATCTCCCCGGCCCTTCTAAAAAATTCTTCTGGAAACAGTGATTTTGGTTTTCTACCTTTTCTTTTTTAATGCATTTTTTTCTCTCTCTTAAGCGTAATAGTTTTCATCCTTTTCCAGCTCTGAAGTGAACAGGAATGCTGATAAATCTTCCCCATTAAGCATTATGCCGGCTTTTGGTTGAGACCTATATATTTTATTGCATTACTGTGAGGAAAAATCCATCTAATCCTATTCTAGTAAGAATATTTTGAGGCCTGGGAGATAGCTCAGTAGAATAAGTGTTTGCCTGGCAAGTGCAAGGGCCTGAGTGCAATCCCTGGTTCTGCCAAAAAAAAAAAAAAAAAAAATTAAACCAGATAGGACATATTTTCTGCTCAATGTCTGCTGATGTCTTAAGTATTACTAAGTTTTATACAAAAATAATTATTAAAATCCTATTAAGTCATCACTGAGCATTTAAATGAATACTCTTTTTTTGTTGGTTGGTTCACTGTTCTTTGAGACAAGGTCTCACTCTGAAGCGCATACCGGCCTCAAAGCTCACACTCCTCACCTACTGGCCCCTAAGTTCTGGGATTATAGGGACACACAATCACGCGCAGCCTTAGGTGAGTGTTCTTTACAGGACACACACAAAAAGTCAGCACCATAATCTTACAAAGGAGCTAATTCTTACCTAAAATATGACCAGTGGGACAGTGGCATTTTCCTTCTGCAGTTAGGCCATGAGGGCAAGAAATGCAGTTCCAGCCATCTTCAGTAACACCTTTCTAAATTAAAAACAGTTTTTCTCCTTTTTAATTAAATTTCTTTGAATTGATTATACACGTTCAAGCAGCCATTAACTACGTAATTTGCAATATATATTCAAGTAAAGCCACCATTTATAAACCACAGAAAAATTTCTTGGATAGTCAATTCATACTTTAAACTACGAAGTTAAGTTGTACGTTTATTACTATGTATGGATTGCTAATAAAAAATAAACTCAGTAAGAATTCTTTGTTCTTACATTCCACTGGATTCTTAATTTCAAAAATTAACTTGTCATTCAATTTTTCCATACCATGTTGTCTGGACATTTTTTACAAGTCATGGCAGGTCCTCCATTGTTAGAAGTCATCTGAAATCCTGGTAAACACACACATGAGGTGCCTAAAAAGAAATGAGACAATTTGGTCCTAGGTCAATCAAAATAGAACTTCAAGATACGGCAGCGGTATTGTACAGTAGTTAAAAACAAGATGCTGGAACTAGTACTATCTGGGTTCAAACCCAGAAATGTACTCCTCGGGTCCCAATATTAGTTCTACTACTAAGCTAACTGGCACTGGGCTAGTTATTGAATCCTATGCCTTGTTGCTTCTTCAGTGAAATAGAAAAAAATAGCAATACCTATCTCATAGGGTTAGTGCGGGTTTTGAATTAGTTACTACATGTCAAAGTCTCCCTCAGTCTGGCACACAGCTTATATTACACTGCTACTACTTTAATTTCAAGTATTACTACACTATTCAGCTGAATTCTTAAAAACTATTAACAGCTATAGGAAATTTTGTATTTCTCTGTGGTTAAATCATACATGAATATTCAGTGAACTAGAAAGTGCCAAAATTTTATTAGAAAAGAAAACAAATCACTGTTCCCCTCTTGTTCGAAAAGCCAGTAAATGTTCCAAGGTAATTACTGCTGAACCGGATGCATACCATGGGCAGCGTTCTCTGTGTAGTACATTCACAGGAATCTATGTAGCACAATGCATATATTTAGATTCATATTTATACTAATAGCTTACATCTCAGAGACTGAAATGCTTTCTCATTCATATTTCTTTACCCAAACAATCTGATTTGTCTTGGTCAGTGACTTAAATGTTGGTGTAACAGGTTGAAGATGTCAGAAAGTTCATGCTGTATCAGTGATGGTGAACCTTCTAGAGCTTTCCATGATACAAACTGCTGGCTGCAGCATGCTTGCTGTGGCTTGCCACCACTGCTAGGTGATTAAATTGAGACCGAAAACACCTTAGAGTTCAATATATGGGGAAAAACCACTCTGAGCAGTTCACTGCACATTTTAGGGGGGAATTAAGTGTGGGTGTGTGGGGTGGTGGGGAGACAGGCAATCTCCCAGTCCCAAGTTAGATGACACATTTCACAACCTCTTCTAGGATTCAGCTGCATTACGGATACCATGCCGTGATCATGCTTCATTAGCTCTAAATTTCTGCGCTGTGAACAAGCGGGACAAAGGGGTACCAACTTTTACAAGCGTTAATTCGCACTTCCTCCCTCTTTCCTGTCCTCTGCACTTCTTTAGCTCAGATTACTTCTTTCCGATTTATTTTCTACCAGGCAGCTTTCTCGGTGCTGGCCCTGCAGACTTCGTCCACATATCAGAATTGGGGGACCCGACACTAAACGCCCGCGTAGCTCTTCGGGTTCCCCGACCACTTTAGCGTGCAAACTGGAATCCTCCCAGGAAACTGAAGTTTTCTGAACCAGTCCTTCTACAAAACGTGGTGGCCTGGGGGTAGCACCAAGGTGGGAGTGTTGCGTTTGCCAAGTCCACCCCGCACCCATCTCACCTCCAGCATCCCGCTTCTGGTTGGCTCCACACGACACACAGGTCAGTGCCGAGATATCGAAGTACTGGTTGTGGTTGCAGGCCTCCGGCTGCTGGAAAGGTAAGGAGAAGGTCAGAGCCTGCGAGACGCGAGGGACGACCAACAGGAGGAGAGCAGTCAGGGCCTCAGCGGTTGAAACAGAAACAGCAGCCATTGCTGCCCGAGCCCCACCAAGCGTTTCCATGGTGCTGAGGCCCGGGAGCGCGCAGTCTCCAGTGCCCCAGCAACCTCTGCGGCGGATCCGCTGAGCTGATTGGACAACACAGGTTCCAGAAATCCTTGCAGGTGCGCTTTAGTTGCTAGGTTACCAAACCCGCTGGAAAGTGGCTGGTACAGGCTGCGGTTGGGGAGCCTGATTGCACGCGTGCTGGAGCGGGCCGCTTGGTATCGCCGATGGCTCTAAAAAGTTCGCCATCACTGATATGGCAGTGTTAATGCTGGAGTCAGAGGGCTATTTCAAAACCATACTTCAAACTCTGGGACTCAATCTTCCTAGGATGTGAAATCTATAGCGTAGAGGGCTGGAAACAGAATATCACATCAAAGAACATATGCGACTATATAACATTAGAAGTATAATTTCGCTGGGCGTGGTGACGCAGGCCTGTAATCCCAGAACTCTTAGCATCTGAGATCAGCAGGGCTATAAAGAAATCCAGAGCAGAGAAGTCAAACAAGAGTTTTTTTTTTTTTTTTAAAGTAAATAATAGGGATACATTTAGGAGATACTTCAAAAAGACAGTGAATAATTGGAAGGGGAATCATTTGCTGATGAAAAATTGGTTGTAGATCTATCTTGTCTGCAGGACTAAATTATGTTGGAGTGGGAGCAGATAAAGAAGGCCTAGGTGAGAGAGGAGCAGTTTGAGGACATGAGTGTAGTTTGATTGCCCATAATATAGGGAAGTACAGATGAGTTTATAGGTCTAGTGCTTGACAAGAGAGGTTAGAAATAGAAATCTATAGCAGTTGCAGTGGCTACTGTGTTTAGACTCTCCAAAGTGAGTTGATAGGCCTACTTACCTGGAAACGGTGCTCAGAAAGTAATTTTTTTTTTTAGTGGGTAGTTCAGTTTTGAGCCACTGTTTGAACACTTCAATGACATAGAGTTGTCGAAAAGAAGAGTGCTTCCCCCTCAGGGTCCATGATGGAGAAGCAGATAGAGAAATAGAACATTAGCGGCCAGGGAGATGGTTCAGTGGAATAAGCGCTTCCCTGACAAGCACAGGGCCTGAGTTCAATCTCCAGTTCCACCAAAAAAAAAAAAAAAAAAAAAAAAAAAAAAAAAAACAACCCAAACCAACATTAAAGTACATATGGGTAATTACTTTAGTGGAGATCACAGAACTGGAAGGTCAGTGGAGATCACAGAGGAGCAAATATCACAGGATAGGACAGGCAGAAGGACCAGCTGGAAAAAGCCAGGGGTATGAGAAGGTAGGCGCATTTGGTGAGTGACATGTACTTTAGTGTCCCTGATATGTAGTGTAGGTTATGTAAGGCCAGAGACAAGAGGTTGGAAAGATAGGCAGGAATAAAAATGAAGGCATTTGAATGCCTGTATTTGTCTACCATAGTTTCAGGCTTAAGATTTTTAATGAGGGAATAATAGGAACTTCATATTTTAGAAAATTTCCTAGGGAAAAAGTATGTGGAAAAGTCTAAAGAAAATCTGAGACAAAGTGAGCAAAGGTTGTTCTTGTAGGTGCTGAAAGACTAGGGATGGCACCCAAAACTGTCTGATACTAAAAGCATTCACCGGGGTGGGTAGTACTGCAGTTGTGGGAAAACATCTGGGAAGCTATCTAAGTTGTTCAGATAGAGCCACAGGAGGGCTGTAGTGTTCATTATTGTGTTTTTTCCAGAAATAATTTTCTCTGTGTTCTTAAAACTGATTAGATTTTGGTGCTGACAAACTAAATGTACACAAACTGTTCAATAACCAGAAAACAAATTACCTTGATCTGATTTTTTTATTATAATGGTATAATCATCTGGCAAAAATAGGGATAAGACTGGAAAGACATTCACTGGAAATGATGTCCTGTGTGGAGAAAGTCTCTGTGTCCAGAGTGTGGTCAGCCCAGAGCCATGAGGGAGGCCATGGGTGATGCTGTTCAAGGGACAAGGTCTTATCCAAGCATACTTTAGCCAGGTGAGTACTGCGTTAAATGACAGCTTTTATTTTTGTTAGGATGGATGAGAATGCCTAGAGGCTTAACTGGGAATCACTTTTTTTTTTTTTAAATGTATTTAGTACAGGGTTTACAGCGTCTCACTATGTAGATTGGATTCATAATGATCCTCCTGTTTTCAGCTTCCCAAGCACTGGGATTATAAGCATAGGACACCACACCCAGTTTCATGTTTTAGCATGCCCTGGGGGCAGAGCCTGCATTGAACCGGGTCCCTGAGCCTGCCTAAGCAGGCACTGTAGTCTGCTGAGCTATCTGACTAGCCCTGACTTTTTGAGAATTCTACCAATGAACCACCCATGCACCGATGCATGGCCCTGATTTTTTGAGATTAGGTAATTACTCATATTCCATTTCCATATATAAATAACTTTGACATTTGACTTCAGATTGCATATGTAAGCTGGGTGTGGTGGTACACAGGGTGTGGTGCTGCATACCTGTAATCCCAGCACTTGGAGGCTGAGGCAGGAGGCTCACTGGAGTTCTAGGCCAGCCTTGGCTACATAGTGAGATTAAGGCTACCAGAATTACATAGCCGAGGCCCTGCCTGAAAAACCCCCAAAACCCAGACCAGGAAAGTGATCTCAATTTTGCTTTGTGTTTTTTTCTTGCACATGAATAATGATAACACTGATATTGCAGAGTATTGCTGTACCTTTTTGTTTAAAGGAATCTGCCTTTGAGCTCAGAATCTTCTATGTAAAAAAAAGAGTAATGGTCCCCGGAAGCAAACCATGTGGGTTCGATTCTGAGATTTACCTTGTGCTAAAGTATGTGATCTTGGGCAAGCTATGTGTTATGGTTTGTGTCTAGCTGTCCTCCCAAAGCCTCATGTAAGTTATGGGGCAGGTGCAGCTGGAAGATCAAGGAGTGGCTTGAGGGGCAGGGGCCAAGAAGCAGGGCCAGAGAGGCCTGAACCATTAAACTGGCTAGCCTGAGCTTAGAGATGTGGAGAGGGTCATCCTGGACACCGAAGCACCCCAGGCTCTCCTCCAATGTCTTCAAACCTCCAGTAACTGTGAGCTAAATAAACCTTTCCTTTCCTCATTTTGAGTGTCGGGTATTTGTCCCAGCAATGAGAGAAGAGTAACTAAGACCTTGTACTAAAGTATGTGATCTTCGGCAAGCTCTGTAATCCTATATGCCCCTACTTTTCTTATCTGTAATGTAGGAAAAACAGTTGTGTGGAGGACCACCTGAGCAGCTCTCCTTGAAAGAAGAGTGATCTTGTCTCCATTTTGGCTGAGCCTGACCCTATTTCCTTGCATTGGTATATACAGAACTGGCTAGGACTTCTCTTTACCCTTTCAATTGGCCTTAAGCAATGCATATTGATCTATGGGAGGTGTGAGTCTTTGAAGATGGCATGCATGTTTCCCTGATAACCCACACCTGCTGCTCTTTAATATGAGCTGGGTACAGACAGGACAAAGAGCCAGTGCTCCACACTGTCCACTGGGATTGAGCCTCAAGGCAGAGGCTATGACTTCCTGGGGCTTGAAAGATTACACATCAGAGCTCATCAGAGCTGAGGCACCAGACCGCAAAACATTGAATACTATCTCAGTAGTATAATGCAAATTACTTTTTCTGCATGCTCTTTTCTCTGCATATGACAGAGGTAAATGCAGCTCACCTACCTAGCTCAGCTCACAGTATTCATCTACTTCCCGAAATTCTCAGTCTTTCATCCTCAAGCCACTTCTCCTCCACGACTGAATAAAATCTGGGTGCAGTCTGGGTTGGCCTCTTTGTTCCAGAAAGCCATCTTCGTGGCCTGACTTAGTGTCCCTTGGCTCCCCATAATTATAAATATGCTTTAGTGTCTTTTGCTGTGGGTGTGGTAGGTTGGAATTAACTTGGTCGGACTCCAATGACGTATTTTTGGGATTACAAATACAGACTTCTTGGATCAAGCCGAGGACCAGGAGGGACTTCCTACATAGTTGTAAAACTAACACACAAAACTTGGCACATTGTAAATCCACAATAAATGTCAGCTTTTTAAGCCAGGTTCCTCAGCCTACAAGGCCAGGACCAAACTCTGGGTTAGCAAGGTAAATCATACTCCATCAAGGATCTCGGACCCACAGGTCCTCTGCTTTGTGGGTCAGTTTGATCTCTGAAATGTTACTAATAGTTTCTGCCACTTATATTACCAATCATTTATATTTTCACAACCCTAAGAAGTGAATACTACCATTACTCCCATTTTAGGGGAAGAAACTGAGTCATAGAGAGGTTAAGTCACTTGCCCAAATGAGTAAAGGATGGCCCTAATTCTGAGTACCATCTTTAATTATTATTATTCATTATTTATGTATCTGGTAGAGGGTCTCACTACACAGCTCCAATTCCTAACGATCTTCCTGTTTTCAGCCTCCCCAGAGTTGGGTTTACAGAGGTATGTGGGCGGGACCTGCAGGCGTTTAAACCATTGAGCTATCTCACCAGCCTCATCTTTAATTATTTTTAATTCACTTGTTAAACTACTTATTAAATATAACAATCATTTTTTGCAGTGAACGGGGACTCCAAATTTTTTTCCCCTCTTTTCTGTAACAACGTTGTACAAATGTGGTTCCTACTTTTTTTTTTTTTTTTTTTATTTTAGGGAAGGGTTTACAGGGTGACTCACAGTGATCCACCTGTTTACAGCCTCTCAAGAGCTGGGATTACAGGCGCAGTGCGCCACCATGCCCAGTCTCAATTGCGTCTCAGTGCACCCCGGGGGTGGGGCCGACAAGGCAGGCCGGGGATAGAACTCCTGGTCCTGCCCCTGCTTGCAAGTGCTTTAATCCACTGAGCTATTTGGCTGACCCTCTACTATTTTTTTATTTTTTAATTTTTATTTATTTTTTAAAATTATTTTTTATTTTTATTTATTTTTATTTTTGGCAGTACCAGAGATCGAACTCAGAACTTTGCATTTGGCAGGCAGCCGCTTATGCCGCTGAGCTGTGTCCCCCGGCCCTATTTTTAATTTTTTAAAATTTATTTATTTGGTACAGGGCCTCTGCTAAGCAGCTTGGACTGGTAGTGATCCTCCTGTCTCAGCTTCCCCAGCGCTAGGATTACAGGCATTGCCACCAAGCCGGGTTTCTGCGGCTAGCACGATGCGCCCGTAGCTCTAGCACCAGCACGACACGTCACGTGATACCAGGGATCGAACTTATGTCCTTGCTCTTGCCAGGCAGGCGCTTAGACCACTGAGCAATCTCCCTAGCCCGAGGTTTCTTTTTTCGAATTTTGGGTTCATGTGTAATTAACTGCACCACGTAGCCCAACATGGTGGGCTGCCTTGTTACTTGTAAATAATAAACCAAAACACAAGGTTGTTCACCAGTTGTTAGGCAGTACTCATCACAGCACAGGCCTGTGATTGTGCGTTTCATGTCTCAACTTTTAGGTCTGGTCCATCCATTCTCGTTTCAAAAGCCTGGAAGACGGGAACCACAAACTTATGAAGACAATTCACAAGGTTATTAATGGCTGAAAGATTGAGAAACATACATTTATTAAGCCCCTAGGTGTTGGTATGGCACGCGGGTAACATCTAAGGCAGTAAAATTAACCATGCCAAGCATGGCCTCTGAGTTTAAAAGAATCTTTGAGAAGATGCTTACCCCACACAATGATGACAGCAGCCCACTCAAAGACAAAGAAATCAATTTTTACGTTTTCAGCTCGTCCTTCAACTTCTAAAAACCTCAATCGTCTGTTTTGTGTACTTTTTAACACTTATCAGCCGCAGGTCCTAACCACACCCGCAGGCGGACTCGTAACTCGGCCTCGGACTCGCACCTCTCCCGGGAGCGCCCGGGTTGGCTGGCAGCTGCGCACGCGCGGAAGCTCAGCCAATCCCGGGCGCCGCCTCTTTCGCCCTAACAACGAGCCGCGCGCGAGAGGCCGAGTGCGCAGGCGCGGCCGTGCGCGCGGGGGCAGCGGGGTGGCGGTGGCGGCGGGGTGGCGGCGGCGGCGGCGGCGGCGGTGGTGGTGGCGTGGGTTACGCGGGGAGAGCGCATGGGCAGACAAACAGTACGTCCGTTTGTCCGGACGGGAGGGGTGGGTGGGCGCCATCTTCCTCTGGGCTGGCTGGAGGCTCCGCCTGCGCTGTGGCGAGCGGCGCCCCGGCCCCGGCCCGGTGTCCGACTCGGCGGCCGCGGTGTGTGTTCCCAGCCGAGGGCGCAGCGGTTCCCCTCGGGGCGTCTGGGGCTGGAGGGGCTGGCGGCCGGGCGGAAGGACGGGGAAAGGCGGGGCCGGGGCCGCGCAGCCTCCGCCGTCGCCGTCGCCGTCGCCGTTAGGGCGCCCTGTTTCCCTGCTAAACACCGACTCTCCCTCTTCCGTCAGCCTCCATGTGGTGGTGTGTGTGCGCTTCCCCGGGATCTTGACAGTGAAGAGCCCGAAGGATTCCCTAGGTATTGTTTTTCTTTGCTATGTCATCGTAGTCAGTGGCGGTAGGAGGCCGGATCCGCAGGCTTCCGAGGGGCCAAGTGGATGCAGCCGGGTCCGGGGCCAGCGGACGCTGTGGCGAGTTAGGGTGCGGCGTTTGCCCTTGGGACTGCGTGACAGAGAGGCAGGAGGTTGGGCGGTTCTGGTTAATGTGAAGGCTGATTTTGGCCGAAGGTCTGGCGACAGCATCGGATCCCACGTAGTAACTTCGGCCTGGCGCAAGAGAAAGAAGCTCTGACCCCTGGGCGTGTGTGGACAAAGGCTTTGGGCTCTAGAATCGATGCCTTCGGATGATTCCCGTTTGACGATGATGGATGTCAAAGGAAATCCTGTGCCGTGTGGATTCGTCTGCATACTGCCTTTGGTTTTTGTTTGAGCCAGCTACGTTATAAAAGGCAGATCACAATAATTTTGGACTGGGGTAGGTTATTTTTTGCAGGGGAAGTTCACACTTAGAATCTGAACACGCTGCATCCTAACTTTGGGTTTCAAGACAGAGTCGCAGTTTCTAGGAAGTAACTTTTTACCTGCTGATTATTAAAGCCAAAACCCGAATCTGAGATACCTTAAATTCAGTCTCTCCCGTTTTCCTCTCACTCTTGATTAGAAGATGGATATTTCGTATTGTTGAGTTAAAAGAGTGATTACGTGGGTGATCACTGGATAAAGACAGCAAAGTTATTTTAAATGCGCACACCCTTCACAGTTTTTACTGATCCACTTCCTTTTTTCATAGTTCTGACAGATCACTGTGTCCTTAAACCTCCACGTCGTGGAAAAAAAGTACATAGCTCGAAAAATTTTCAGGGTAGGGATTTGCTTTTGTGTTGTGTGTTTCGTTTCTTGTGCAAATGTACTGTGTTAGTCAAATTTCTGGATAATTTGAGGAAACAGCATATTGGAACTATAAAAGTACCTACGTATTTGGAAAGCTAAAGCTATTGTGTATGTGTGATTGTGGAGTGTAAGTGATACTTAGGTTAAAGAAGTTGATGCATTCGTTATATTTACCTTTTAAATATCTTAAATTGAAAATCATGAGGTTTGTACTCATGAAACTTAAAGATAGTTTTAGTTAAGGTACTTAGTGTTCAGATGTTTCTAGAATTTTTTTGTATTTGGTATAATTAACCTTGAAATGTGTCTTAATTTTGCTTTGCTTATAAATGATCTTACAATCTCAAGGTAAATACCTTTTAAATTAAAAAAATAAGCTTAAAACAGACAAAATGACAAGTCTGAATGTTGCTAAAATATTTAGCATAGGACTTGTGGAATTTTGAGGTGTGCAGGTGCACAAGTATTCCAGAGACCAATTACGGTTTTTGTTGGAAGTGTTAGGTGTGGATATTGATTAGTGAAAAAAATTAGGCTTAATTTTTTTTTCTGGTAGTGTGCAAATGTTTTTTGGATGTCGCCTGTGCAAAGTAATTTCCTGACACTTGCTGTTTTGGCTTTTCGCTAGAGTACCATGTGTTTGCACATTCAAACTATACTAATTATTATTTTGGCAGGTCTTATTTGGTAAGACTTTCTTATATATTGTTAGTTTTGGTATCCATGATGGTGTTTAGATGAAAATTTCCTCAAAAAAATACTAATAGAGTAATTAATATTGGTAATCTCAGTCTTCCATATTGATAAATTTTAACTACATTTTTACTTCTTTTATGTTATTATTTGAGTTTTTCCCGTTGAATGCAACATAGTTGGTTGAAGTGGAATAGACTTTTGGCACTTTGTCTTGGCATTATAAGTCTTTATCTCAACATTCTGTGTTTTACTTGAGGTGAATTACTGTTGTAAGAGTATCAGATAAATAATGGTGTTGAGGTTTGATATTAGGGGTATTGTAGTACTTGGTTTAGTTGTACGGGTGTCATGACATTTGCTTCTGTTTTGAGACTATTGAGTTAAAAATTAAATCCAAATGGTAGCTATTGGCTTGAGTTTATTGATTTAAAAATTTGAATTTTTATATAGTGGAATGTTGCACTTAGATGTTTTTAGTCATCATGTCATTTTCAGTGGTTGCTTTTTTAGTTTGACATGGCCTTATATTTTGAAAGGGAGGAAACTGGCAAGAGAGTTGAATGTAAGTATGAGGTAGCTGTATGGATTTTCATGGAGGGAAGTAAAGGAAGGTCTTTTTTTAAATGTGTGGTGTTTTTAAATCAACAGTTAATTGCGGAACTGGTTTTTGGAACATTTCTTTAAGTGGATGTAAAACTTCTATACATACCCAAGATGCATAGACCTTAAGAGAAGCCTCTGAGCTTTGATAAATGTATACATCCATTTATGCACATGACCACTATACTTAGAGTACATTTCTGCTATGTCTTTCTTCATGCTGTTTTCAATAAGTGAGTAGTATCATTTCAGCACTTTAAAAAATTTTTAATACTTTGCAGATGTCCTCTTAGAATTTATACTTTCTTTTTGTAGAAGGATAATGAATTTCCCCTCGGATCAAAGAAGACTATTTTGTAATGCCCATAATTGTGGATATTATATTGCTTCATTTTTGATAGGTAATTCTGAAATGAATATCCTAATCGAGTATTGAGATAATTACAGGGTTCAAAGATTAATTATATTTCATTTTCTTTCCACAGTTAAGTTGCTTTTACAGAATTAACAGGTCTCCAAGAAATAAAAAGAAAAGGTAAGACATTCAGAGCTTAAGGCTTTTCACAGAGGCTTGACAAAAATCATATGGATTAGAATATCCTGGTACTCATGGCATTTGTCCTTTATGTCTAGCCAGTGATGCACTAGTAGTAGGCACCTTATAATATGAGCAGAAATTATGTAATGACTATAGATGGCTTTTCTAAATTTGTAAATTTTACTGTGGTTGGTAAAAGACTTTAATCTCACATGTTAGTAGGATATATGTTTTAAATGAGTCTCAAAGTAGTTTGGTCTTGTTGTGAAGCAGCATTTGGCAGACTTAAAAGGAAGATTTGATATTTTTGATGTTTCTTACTGGATGGGTGATATGAAATGTTTTTCAAGGTAGTTGGTTTATTTGTTTAGATGGGAGAAAGCTTATTCTTTGTTTTCTTTAAGACTCAGATAAGATCATTACTTTTGTGAACTTGTATCTTTTCATTTTTAAATGCTGAAGGAAGCAGAAACCCAGATAATTATTAAGCTTAGTTTGGGCTAAGGTGCTTCAAAAATAAGACTTGCTATTATGTGTACCTTTTTGTCTACAGGTCATTATTGCTGTGGTTTGAGCTCAGCATGGCTGTAGTCATCCGTTTACTGGGGCTTCCTTTTATTGCGGGGCCTGTGGATATTCGTCACTTCTTCACGGGATTGACTATTCCTGATGGAGGAGTGCATATAATTGGAGGGGCTATTGGGGAGGCTTTTATTATTTTTGCAACAGATGAAGATGCAAGACGTGCCATAAGTCGCTCAGGAGGGTTTATCAAGGATTCATCTGTAGAGCTCTTTCTTAGTAGCAAGGCAGAAATGCAGAAGACTATAGAAATGAAAAGAACTGATCGCATAGGAAGAGGGCGACCTGGATCTGGGGTATCAGGGGTTGGCAGCTTATCTAATTACATTGAGGCCATGAAAGAAGATGAAAGTAATTCTGGATATGGCTCTTCAATTAACCAAAATGCTGGGTTTCATACAAATGGTACAGGACTTGATGATTTAAGGCCAAGAAAGACAAGGCCATCGAAGGCTGAGAATCCTTACTTATTTCTACGAGGTTTGCCTTACTTAGTAAATGAAGATGATGTACGTGTCTTTTTTTCTGGTTTGTGTGTGGATGGAGTAATTTTCTTAAAACATCACGATGGCCGAAATAATGGGGATGCCATAGTAAAATTTGCTTCATGTATTGATGCTTCAGGAGGTCTTAAATGCCATAGAAGTTTTATGGGTTCAAGATTTATAGAAGTAATGCAGGGCTCAGAGCAACAGTGGATTGAGTTTGGTGGAGATGGAGTTAAAAAAGGTGAAATTCCTATGAGAGCTGAAGGACATTCTCCTTCAAGAGGAGTTAATGATAGACATTTTCGAAAACGGTCTCATTCAAAATCTCCCAGAAGAACACGTTCTCGTTCCCCTGTTGGATTTTATGTTCACTTAAAAAATCTGTCCCTAAATGTTAGTAAAAGAGATTTAAGAAATTTCTTTAGAGATATTGATCTAGCTAATGAACAGATTAGATTTTTATATAAAGATGAAAAAAGAACAAGATATGCCTTTGTGACTTTTAAGACTCTGAAAGACTATAATACTGCTCTGGGTTTTCATAAGACTATTTTACAACATCGTCCAGTTCATATTGATCCAGTTTCTAAAAAACAAATGCTGAAGTTCATTGAATGTTATGAAAAGAAGAGACTGGGGTCAACAGAGAAGGAACGATCTGGACATATTTCACAAAAATACTCCCAAGAAGGCTACTTGGGCCAGAAACTTTGCATATATATAAGAAATTTTCCCTTTGATGTTACAAAAGTTGAAGTGCAAAAATTCTTTGCAGACTTTTGTCTTGCTGAGGATGACATTTACCTGCTTTATGACGACAAAGGAGTTGGTCTGGGAGAAGCATTGGTGAAATTTAAATCAGAAGAACAGGCCATGAAAGCTGAACGTTTAAACCGACGAAGATTCTTAGGGACAGAGGTATTACTAAGACTTATATCCGAGGCACAGATGCAGGAATTTGGTGTACATTTCCCCTTGCTCTCTACTGAGAAAATGCAAGCCCGTTCTCAGTCACATGATAGAGAAGACCATTCCCATTTATTTGATTCAAAAGACCTATCAGCTTACTCAGTTGACCCTTCTGAAGACCTTAGATACCAGCTAGAGGATTCGAGGCCACAGGGTAACTTCAGGCATCCCCAGGGATATATACGACAGCCTGATAGACACCCTCCAGAAGACTTCAGGCAGTCACCAGACGACTTCAGGTTCCCTCCGGAGGGCTTCAGGCGATCCCCAGAGAACTTCAGGCACCCTCGGGAGAAGCACTTCAGACGGCCTCCTGAGGAAGACTTCAGGCGCCCATGGGAGGATGACTGGAGACGGCCTCCTGAAGACTGGAGGTGGCCACTGGAGGAGGATTTCAGACAGCCCCCTGAAGAGGACTTCAGAAGGTCCCTTGAGGGAGATTTCAGGCGGCCACCAGAGGAGGAGTTCAGGCGCCCTTGGAAGGAGGACTTCAGGTGCCCTCCAGATGATGATTTCAGGCACCCCAGGGAGGAGGACTTCAGGAAGCCCCCTCAGGAGGATTTCAGGCATTCCTCTGAAGAAGACTTCAGGCGATCACCCATGGAGCATTTAAAACGGCCACCCCAGGAGCACTTCCGGCGACCACCTTCGGAACATTTCAGGAGACCACCTCCTGAGTATTTCAGGCAGCCACCCCCGGAGCACTTCCGAAGACCACCCCAGGAGCACTTCCGGCGGCCACCCCAGGAGCACTTCCGAAGACAACCCCAGGAGCACTTCAGGCGTTCCCGGGAGGATGATTTCAGGAATATGCCAGATGATGACTTCAGGGGCCCTCTGGATGAAGACTTTAGGCACCCTCCTGATGAGGACTTCAGGAATCCCCAGGAAGACTTTAGATGCCCTTCTGATGAGGACTTCAGGCAGCTCCCTGAAGAAGACCTCAGAGAAGTTCCAGAGGAGGACCTTAGACTTGCTGACAATTTCCGACCTTCTGGTGAGGATTTTAGGAGTCCACCTGAGGATTTTAGAAGTCATCGCCCTTTTGTGAATTTTGGTCGCCCAGAAGGTGGCAAGTTTGATTTTGGAAAGCGTAATGTGGGAGGTTTTCCTGAAGGTAGATTTATGCCTGATCCCAAATTAAATTGTGGTTCAGGTAGAGTAACTCCTGTTAAGATAATGAATCTTCCATTTAAAGCAAATGTAAATGAAATTTTAGACTTCTTCCATGGTTATAGAATCATACCTGATTCAGTTTCAATACAATATAATGAGCAAGGTTTACCTACAGGGGAAGCCATTGTTGCTATGATCAACTATAATGAAGCTATGGCCGCTATTAAAGATCTTAATGATAGGCCAGTTGGTCCCCGGAAGGTTAAGCTCATTTTGCTTTAGAAAGCATTTCTGAGTTCAGTTACTATCCCACAGTATTGATGCAGTAAAATGCATTTTTAGAAAAGTGTTATTTTTAAACATTTTGATTTTGACCTGTGAATAGAAAAACTGTAAATAGAATGTGAATTTGGTTCTCTTGCTTGCAAATTGCCTTTCACTTTTTTTCCCCCTAATTTAAAATTACATATGCTGTATTTTTATTTGTTAGGGTAGCAGGAACTAATTCCTTGAGTTCCTTAATTTTTGTTGCTGTTATGCATAAACCTCCAAGACTTTTAGAGTTGTATTTGGGGAAGATATATTTTATATTCACTTTTCTTTCTGTAGTCAATGCCTTTTGCTCAGACTGTATAAGGAAATGGTCAGTGGCTGATTGTCCAGGTTTGGCATTTTTATCGCTACCTGCCTGCAGAATTGATGCCCCTTTGTCTGAGATGTTGCTGTGTTAAATCTGTTAATTATAGTCAAAATGGACAGACTGTGAACTTTGAAATTTACTTATGTAAAAAGCTTAGGAAATTTAGTTTACATGTTCATAACTGCGAAATTTTATAAAAATAAAAAATTGCAACTGAATAGACTAACTTGTATTTGTATAAAAAATGGCAGCTGGGTGTAAAGTTTTTCAGCAGTACATTAAATTAAACTTATGATGGGAAGGACTGTTATGTAATAGTAATGTATAGTTGTATGGGTTCTTTTAACATTTTAGTGACTGGGTAGGATTAATACAAAATACTCAAAGCAGTAAGAGTGCAATTATAGGTGAAGGGAAACTCGGGCTTATGCTGGGAAGAATTTGACAAAATGGATACAGTTTGTTTTTATAAGAGGGATTTACTGATGAGTCCTATAACTTGTATGTTTAGTATTAGGTTCTTATGATATTTTAACATCAAAACTTTTATTCAGATGTGAAGTATAAGACCTGTGTGGCTGAATTTTTACTCATTAGTGACATCCAATACTTAATGTAGATATTCTGCAAATACTGGAAACTACTCATACTCATATAAAATTTTGCTCATATTTATGAGACATTATGTGCTAGTCACTGTAAGTGCTTTGTATGCATGATCTCAGTATATACTAATAGTAAAGGACAAACTTCTGTTTCACAAATGAGCTAATGTTAAGTTTAGAGAAGTGAAACCACTTGCCTGAAATCTTAGTTAAGTTGCAGAGGCAATTTCAACTCGAACATTCCATTTACTGTTGTTCCTGTTAATACTTTTGCTGCCTGTTATTTTCATGAATGTTTTCTTCATTCTCACTTGATCATTTAAAAAAGATAAAACTAGGGTGCTCAAACATTGTTAAAAGAAAAGGTGTCTTAGTTTTGTATACCCAAGGTTTCTCTTAGGATACATTATACTCTGGCTTCTAATTCAGAGTTATTCATTTTATCCACCATGGTTTGACTTGGACCTTCTATAGTTTGTATAGAACATACTCTTTTCCTCAAATCTTTGATCCAGAGATGTCCCACATTGCGTAAGCATAAAACGGATTTTTTTTCCTGTTTTTGAGAATGGGGCTCTTGCTAATTTGCTCACACTGGGCTCAAATGTGTGATCATTCTTTCTTAGCCTCCCAGAGTGCTGGGGTTACGGGTTTGCACTGCCGTGTCTGGCTTAAAATTGAATTTTTATTTGGTAATTTAGTCATTTAATAGGATATTGCTTAAGTAATATGATTTTTTTTAATAGTAAGTGTAAATATCTTAATTTTTGAGTGATTTAAAGAAATCTAAGAGAAGCCTACTTAATTTTTTGATAGCCAATGTCCTGCTTACTTAGTAGAATGAGTAAAATGGTATATTTGGTTCTAAAAAGCACCTCCATATGTCTCTTTAAAATAGTAAACTTGAAGAGGGAGAATGACAAGCTCTGCTATATCTGAATGAAGCACAATGAACAAAAGAAGGAGACATGATTTTTTTTTTTTTTTTTTTTTTTTTGTGGTACCAGGGATTGAACTCAGGCCCTTGCGCTTACCAGGCAAGCGTGTATTCTATTGAGGCATCTTCCTGGCCCAAAATATTTTTTTAACTTACACTTTACTCAAGGTAGAAAAATCTGAAGAAGTAGAGGAAGGGAGAAACTGGCTTTGCAGATTTTTGGGCTGAATAAAAATAAAAGTGAAATAGAAACAAAAGTGCACCCTAGCCTGGAGGCTGTAGAGCCGGCTAAGGAGAGGTGGCAAGTTAGCAAGAAGTGGTATCTGTAGTTGCTCTATGTAGATGGTTTGCTTGATTGAACTTTTGAGATATGGATGGAAGACTCAAGAAATACTTATCAGATATAGTTCATAGCAATAAAGATAAGATGAAGCTTAAAGTAATACATAATTTAAAGTGGGTGCTTGCTTCTCAGACTGGGTTGAGACGGTGTAGAATAAGAGGGCATCTACAGTAAACATATGCTCTGTTTTGATTTTAAAATTAAATGGCAGAAATACTTTATTCCAAAATATATTGTACTTAATACTTTTTACTTCATTTCAGCTAGCGTCTGCTGGTTGGAGGCCATTTTTGTGTATTTCTTTTCAACAGCTCCTTTAGTGATACTAAAGCTGGCCATGGTGGGAGTGTACACACTGTGTAAATGGTTAAATGCAGGTAGTAGGGCATGCCCTTTCTGTGATCAACTTAGAATCAGTTTATGAGCATATACAATTTTAAACACATGAAAGAGGAAGTGTATTAAATCCTCATGTGCTTGTCGTTTAGCTGAAATAATTGTTAGACTCATAAGTTTTTCTTTTACCTGCAGATATAGAAGTATATTGGTCTTTAGCTTATGCCCAGTGACATTTTGTCATAAAGCAAACATTTCTGTCTAGAATGTACTTGAAAAAACATTAGCTAGTATATAGAAAATAAACTTAATCCCATAATCGGGAGATAACAGGAGGTGAAAAACAGGAATGAATCTTACCAGTTTTTAAAGAACATTAAAAGCAGTATTTTACTTGTTACCTATTAAAGCAATAACCCTGTTGCCTCTGTCTTTGCCTTAAATGTTTATTGAGTTTTAATAGATATCACATTTACCACTTAATGTTGATTATCCTAATTTATTTTATTCCTATTTTGGAGATAAGAGATGGAGATCTATAGGCTAAGTAACCTGTTGGGTTAGTTTCCTTTTTTTTTTTTTTTTTTTTTCATCAGGGAAACTACGATTAGTTTTAATGTTTTAAAATGTGATAGTGTCTTATATGGTTACATAAGCATCTATGTAATAATTTTAACTTGACTGTCCTTCCTGGGCTATGAAGTGTAAAATATTTACCATCTGGCAACTAAAGTCTGTTCTACATAGTGAAAATTTTACATTGATGAAAATAATTCTTATTGATAGTGTTCCTTTTTTACCATAGGATATTTCTTTGAAGTGGGAAAAAAATGTTTTTCATTGCAGAATTACCTATTGATTGTTTTAGGTACTGTTTTAACTTTACAGATGAGGCAACTGCTGCTTACGTTAAATATAGTAAGCCACAAGAAAGATACTATAACCCAATCTGTTGTATTCCTTTGAACTTCAACACAAGATTTAAATACTGAGAAAGTAAAAACCAATTTCTTAAAAGTGGTAGCTTATTTATTTTAAAGTATTTTGAATATTTATAAACTGTCAACACTCTTCTCAGGAAGCAGCAGTCCATTAAAAACAACCATGAGTGGAAGTCAAAAATGCTTTCTAGGAAGTCTTTATTGTTATGTAATGAATATAGTAATTACTTTTTCCAGTTATCCCAGATGACTATAAATTTCAGTTTTTCTGTATCTGACTGGAATCCATGAAGTTACAGAAATATTAATTCTTCACCAAAAGAATCAAAAGCACCAGATACAATAAAAGGTTTGATTAAATTGTGTTATGTTATTAGGAGTATGAGTGACTATGTGCTCTTTTATTACCTAGATAGGTTGGCCAGATTTTTAGTTTTTAATAATAATCTTTCCCATAATGAGGCACCATCCCAATAAATTACTAGCTTTGTAATTTACAGCACCATATACAATGACTTACTGTGCTGGCAGTTTTGTTTTAAAACAAGTATCAAGTTGAGTGTGGCTCTTAGGCTTTAAGTATATTTATAATGCCTTATTTCCTTTATTTGAATATACTCTTGTTGAAAACAGTAAATTTACATATCAATTGAAATAATAGGGTTTTAATAAAGGTACAAAAGAAAAAAAGCTCTTAAAGTTTCATGGAATAGAATTTGTATGCAATCGGACCTATTCTGGTATTGAAAACATGGAGCCTTAATGTTGAAGAAGCTGAGAGGAATTATGAAATCTTTAGTTGTTTTCTTATTGCAACTTGGCTAAGTACAGTGCATTATGAAATGCTTTGAAGTATGTCATTTTGTTAAAAAATGAAACTTACATAAAAAGACACATACCACTAGAGAGGATGTTGAAATTATTTTAAAAAAACTTTAATTTTTGTTCAGCGTAAATTTTCTTTATTTTTGCATTTATGGTAGGATTTTATTTTGAGGCTTAACCTGTCAGGTGAATATAAAGTTTTCAAGTCATTCAAGATGAAAATGGACATTGGAAATTAAAATTAATTTTCTTCTTCTGTAAAGTCTGCCTCATCATCTTCTTCGTCTTCTACATGTTGATCCTTTCTTAATCGACAGGTAGATACCTGTTAAAAATTAACATAATTTTAAAAATAAAAAATACTAACTTAAAAATATTTTTACAGGCTTGGTATCTTTTTTTAAATGTCTATAGGAAAAGATACATAAACAAGTATTTCAGAAAAACATCAATATATAATCTATAGTAACAAATTCCCTGTGGATAATTATATTTTAAGGTTGCAAACTAGATTGTTTTTTCAAATATGTAAAATTAACCACGTGATTCCAGTTAGCTAGTTATCAGTGCTTCAGTAATAAAATATGGTCTCAGTATATTATGAATGTTAAAAATTTTTTTTTTGGTTGCAGAAAGAGTTTGAGAATCACTGAATGGCAAAAGCAGAGTATCTAAAAACACCTGATGGTTGTCATAACTATATGTGCTTTGTGTACTACTGGCAGTAGTACATCTTGTGTGCAGAACCTGGGGGGCTGCTCAGTACTATACAGGTCAGCACACTGCCCCCCGCGGGACCTGGTCCCAGTTTAGTGGAACTGAAGTTGAAAAACCCTAGGATAATTTATTCTAAAATGGTATAGAAGAGCTGGCGAGATAGCTTAGTGCACAAAGTGCCTGCTTTTACAAGTGCAGTGACCAGCATTCTGTCCCCGGCACCACATGCCGTGCCAGCCCTGCCTCCGGGCACACTGAGCTGGCCATGAGACCAGGTGTGGTGGCACACGTGTAATGCCAGCGCTGGGGTGGCTAAAAACAGGAGGATCACTATGAGTTGAAGCCGTGTAGTGAGACCCTGTATCAAGTTCCTTACCAAAAAAAAGACAAATATTAGGTAATTTAGGTAATGTTTAGTTCTAAATAGTTGTAATGTTTTATAATACTAAATTTATGGCACTTAGTGCTGAAATAATAAAATTTGGATGGGAAAAGATAAAAATTATAAAGCAGAAAATAAATGCTTAGAAGAGAATCTAAGTGTTAACTCAAATTTACCTAAATTATATTTTGATAATTCTAAATTCTGAAGGCTAGATATGAAAAGGTCGTATCTCTAGATGAGAATTTGGCATGTTATGGTTCAGGCCACCTCAAGCTTTCTGGATGTAGAAGAAATGAAAATTATTTCTAAAGAGCTATGTTCCTGGATTTAGGACTGTGAAAGTAATTTCTTTTTTAGATATAATTTCTGGATAAGGCCCATTAAGATAGTAATACTCATAACCAGCTCGACTTCATAATCTATGCTCTGTCATTACCAGATACCAAATTTCATTAGCCTTCAGTCTTTTCCACTTCTGCTTTCAAGTGTTCTGCTTAAAGGCGTAATGGGTGGGTATAGCCTAAAAGATAAGAAATAATGGAGTGCAGCTGTTTGTCATAGTGCACAAGAAGAAGGAGCCCTATTGAGTGTAAACTATATGAGATCCTATGATTGAAGGGAAACAGTTTAAATTGTACTGAGCAATTCCAAAAGCAGCAGCTCCAAGTCCTCAGTTACGATTTTTAGCTCACCTGTCCTGTTCCTGATACACCCTTAGCTGACAGCGATCTCTGAAGAGGTGACTTTGAATTTGCTTTTACAATATCTAAACGAGATGGATAATCTAGTGGATACAGAGAATTTCGGAAAACCTATTGCAAAGATAAAAGAACATTATAAGGGAGATGTCAAGTGAAATTCTACATAGCCCAAATAAATTGTTATTGGTTAAAAGTTTTAAACCCTCCACCTAAAAGGACGAAATTCCAATTATTACAGGTTGAAGAGGAGAAAAATACAAAGTCTCAAAGATGGCAAATCATGTAAGAGTAAGCTGGAGCTACTGTAATTCCTATTACGCCACGTGCCAGTTCTTTTTCCTTAAGGCAGAGTTCTCAAGTCTTAGCACTGTCCAAAGCCTAAGCATTCTGATCCTTTCCAGTGTACATTTTTCCTTTAGCTAAAACTTCAAACATAAACAAAAATTTTTATTTCCACAGTTCACTCCTCTAGATAACTGTCTTTTAAAAATGTACTTCAAAAGTATAATTTCTTTAAAAATTCTCATATATTTAGTACAGTGGTCTCGCTACATAGATCAGACTTGTAGTGATTCTTCTGTTTTCAGCCTCCCAAGCGCTGGGATTACAGGCTCACGCCACTTTTTCAGGGCGCCCAGCATGGCAAGCTGGGGATCAAACCCTGGCTGCAGTGCTCTGCCTAAGCAGGCACTTTAGTCCGCTGAGCTATCTGGCTGGCCCTGGTTAATTTGTTTCTTAATACACTACAGTTGGGCTTTTACTTTGCCCTGAAATTACTCTTGACAAAATCAACAAAATCTTGTTTTCATCTTCCCCAAATCTTTTTCTTAAGTTATCACTAAACTGTCTCATTGCTGACTGGCCTGTTTCCTCATACCTCATTTCCTACTGCTTACACCTAAAATATTTTTAAGGGTATCCCTTAAACCATTAAAAAAAAAATCTGTTCTCTGAAAGAGTTCATCCATAGTATATAATGCTTACTCTTCACCTGACCAATACTCTTATCTACTCCACATACTTTGTTCTGAAAGCCGTATATATGCTTCCAACTTTCTGTTGTAGACCAGTGTGAATAAAACTTTGAGGTGATGGTGATATTTTGTGCTGTCTAGAAAAGGTAGCTGTGCTTACATGTGGCTATTTAATACTTGAAATGGGATTCATAGAGCTGAAGAACTGATGTTTCAAGTAAATTTGCATAACCTTAAATAATTACTAGTAACTGTGTTCTCTTATTATATTGGACAATGCACCAAGAGATTCAGTTATTTATTTGGTGCAGGGTCTCTCTACACAGCTCTGACTTCAAGTGATCCTCCTGTCTCAGCCTCCCCAGTGTTGGGATTACAGGCATGTGCCACCATGCCTGGTTTTGTGGCCGACAGAGAGCATGGCATGTGGTACCAAGGATAGAACCTGGGTCCTTGCACTTGCCAGGCAGGTGCTTAGATCATGGAGCTATCTCCCCAGCTCTCAAATGTTCTTTCATTTTCCTTGTTCTGTGTTTGGTAGTTTCTAATGCCAATACCCTCAAGGATAGAGTTGTTACTTCCTTTTTTTTTTTAATGCTACTTTTTAACACACACACACACACACACACACACACACACACACACACAATATAGTCTTAGGCTCTTGTAATATAAGGAGTCCAGTTGTATCTTTGCAACTCTTCCCAACAGAAGGTGTTAATTTGCTTTTGTCCAAAGAATGCTGTTAATGTGAGCAGACTTCTTATTGGGGAAAGACAGAAACCTACACATTGGTTTGAGTCTTAGACACTTGCAGGACACAAAAGGAATCAAGGGATAACAAGCAGGGAGGTGAGACTTGTAAAATAAAGTCAGCAGGTTACTGAGGACCAAATCTTAATACTAGACATAGTACATTGGCATCCAGCTATGATATAATCATACCTGAGTCATGAATCAACTTGTATTTTGAAGGAATATATTTTTTGTTTCAACAGTCCTTTTAATACTTTTTTATTAAAGGTGAAATATATAGAAAATAGACAATACCAAACTCTTTGGCTAAAAAATTTAAATACTAAAAACCTCTTAGTGCGCAACAGATTTAAAGAAATACTTAATGGCAATAATGCGTTTTTCCAACATAATCCAAGGTCTCTCCTAGGAGTCAATGTCAAGATCTGAATATTCTTTGAAATGGTTGCACAGAAGTGATTTTTGAAGGGGAAAATGGGTCTGGCAGTACTTTTTATGTGAAGAACAAATAAGGTAAGATGGTTTGTAATATCACTAGAATGCCTTGCAAACAGTTGGCTGTCGCTGGAATAAGGATCAGTGCTTCTCAAACTGTGGACTACTGGAAGGATAGTTTCTGAGAAACCTTTATTCTCAGAATCCTTCCTTTTGAGACCTCTTAGATATAATTTTATTTCCCTTGGTTCCACCACTCTAGACTGCTCTGCTCTGCTTCTATCAATTGCTGGATGCCTGGTTCATTGAAAAAATGCTTGTGCCCTGCACTATGCTATTTAAAGTATATTACTTTCTATGCATAAAAGTATGTTCTGTGCCTGAAAGTTTTTGCAGGCATCTTCATTGTTTGAAGCTTTTTTTCTTTTATTTCCTTTTTTTGACACAAGGTTTTACCATACAGTTCAGACTGGTTGTGAGCTTGCTTGGTAGCCTGGGCTGGCCTGGAACTCATAGTGCTCTCATGCATCAGCCTCCCAAGTACTTAAATAGGTGCACAATATTTGTTTAAATGTCAGAACTCCATGGTAGGAAGTTGATATTCAAAAATGTATGTACAACATGGTCCTGAGAACTTTAAGTTTTTCATGGATCTTACCTAAAGTACCTACCTCACTGATTAAGACAGATGACAAGAGAAGTTATAAAAGGTAGTGTGACAGAAAAGACACCTGGGGCCTCTGGATGAGAAGGAAAGATCTTGAAGGAGTTTTAGTAGTGAACAAAGGCTTGTCAAGCAATGAGACTAAAAGTACTTGTGAAAGAGGCTCCAGTCTTGTAGGATAAGCAGGGGATTGCTTTTGAACCTGCCAACTCATCTAGAACAATACTAGCTTCATGTAAAAGGGATTAAAACCAGCGCTGTAGTTACATAACAATTTGACTCTGAGCTCTGCTATTAAACTATGCGACCTTTGGGAAATCTTTCAAATTCATTATCCTTCAGTTTTCTCATCCATAGAACGGAGGACAATAAGCACTTTCATTAAAATTGATGAATTATATGGCATAGCTTAGATCAGCTCAAAATAATCACTAAAGATCTATTTTATTTTACAAATGGAAGATAAAAGCTTAATAAATTTTTTTAAAACACCATGAAAAGGAGTGAAAATTAAGAACCTTAGCTTTTAAAGGGTATTTGAAGGTGACAATCATTTGTTGACAAACAAAATGTAAGTATGTATGACTGACAGACAACTCAGAATTTGGCCTTGAAACATATATACACATACTTAGGCATTAATTCAGCCATATTCTAGCCTAATTAAGTTTCTAAGGAGCTAAGGGAATACTTGGATAAAAAGGCTCAGAGGATTTGTCAGTAGTTAAAGAAGCAGAAGAATTTAGTCTTCAAAATTGTCAAATGGCAGTTGCAATGAAAATCTTACTTTTTTTTTTTTTAATTTTTAGTATAATGCTGGGGGTTGAACCAGGGTCTTTAAACTAAATAACCATCTTTTTTAAAAAATTATGGTCTCCTGCTGGGGAGATGGCTCAGTAGAATAAGCGCTTTCCTGGCAAGTGCAAGGGCCTGAGTTCAATCCCCGGTTTTGTGAAAAAAGAAAAAAAAAAGAAAGTATGGTCTCCCTGTGTGGGTAGGCTGGGATCATATTTGCGGTTCTGCCTTGGCCTCCCACAGTATTGGTACAGTATTGCAGGCCTGCACCCCATTCTGGATTCAAATTCTATCATTAATAACAGGATTCTTTTTATCACTTGAGAGTTCATAATTTTTTAAATGTTCACACTAGAGATAATATATGGGTAAAATATTTTTAAAATATTACTCATGTACCCTTTTTTTCTTTTAGAAGGTTAAGGGTAGGACATTACTTCAGATGGGCTTACTGAAAACTAGGCTTTGATACTTAATTGCACTAAGTTCTGTTTTACTTAAGTTTAGCACGAAGCAAGCCTGCATAATCCTATATTTGCATTCAACAAAAACTACATAAACCCGTTACGTACTTGTATTTAACCTCTATACACCTATATCCTCATCTACAATCTTTCCTACAAACCATCTACCTACAAAGTGAGTCTGCATAAAGCTACATTTATTGTACATCGTAATAACCAAGTTACACAAAACCAGTTGGCATCCTTGTTCTGGTATTTACTAGGTAGGTGGTCATAAGGCATTAGAGCCTCTAAGCCTGTTGCTTTTCTAAGAGTAACAGCAGGAACCTTGAGGGTAGATGCTGCTGTTGAAGGTTCCTGTGAGGATTAGGAAAACTCACATGAAGCCTTGGGCCTTGTGCATGGCATGAACACACAGTTGTTCGAATCAATAAATGTTTGTTATTTTTAGCTTACCTTAGTGGGGTTATATCACCCAGTCAAAGTGATACACTATTTTTTTCATGTAAACAGCTTCGAGAAGATTAATGTTTTTGTAGCTATAATTAGCTCTTGGGACTTCAATTATGATCAATTTGAAATTTTCAAATAATGAAAAACACAAAAATTCAGGTGCTAAAGACTATACAATTACAAAGCACAAGATATTTTTACCTGTGTTAATGCTCTTTCTCTCTCTCTTTTTTTTTTTGTAATGGGAAGGAAACTCATGACCTTGAAGTTGCCAGGTACATGCTGTGCCAGAGCTACATCCCTGGACCCATGCTCTCTTTTCAGTGTTTCTACATTAAGATAAGAATTGTGCTTAGAACAGACAGTCTTACCTCCAAGTCTTCATCTTCATCAATCTTTTGTATATTTTGGTAGGCAGCAGTGTAGACCTCTAAAGCTTTGCCATGAAATAACATTTCAATTGTGATAAATTCTGAAAATACATTCTAAAAAAACAAAGATTTGAATATAAACATTTGAATTTTATGAACTTATTAAGTTTATTCTCCACTATAGTCTGAGCATTTTGTGAAACAGTGAAGTATATCTATTTTTCTACAAGATCTTTTGCAGCAGAACTGGTAAAATACAGAGTATTTCTATATCATCACCATTCACTTCTCTTTATTTTAGTTCTTTTTGTACCTGGTAACTGATACTAGCAATAAAGAAATCTGACTAATATGTTTGTTCTTGTGTACTCAAATACCACATGTATTCCAGTTGTGATACTGGTGTTTCAGTAATACAACTGATACCAGAGAAGAGTGGACTCTGGAATGAAAAATGCATAACTGACCAACAGTGATTTCTTACTGTTTATTTAGGTAGGTCACAGAGGGCCCTGGTATACTGTTAAGCAACATTCTGCTGTGATATGGTTTTGAATTTTATATTAAGAATTTCCAAACCTAAGGATACCTCAGAGGTAGAATGGCTTCAGAGTAGGACTAATCTTCACTTTGTTAGTAACTATCTCATGGGAAACTAGTAACTAAGTGTAGAAACTGCTGGAGGAAAAGTAGAAAGGTAGGAGTCAAGGACAGTCCACAGCTCACGTGCTTTTAGTGCTCAAGAAATTAAACAGGCAAGAGAAAATGTTCTGAATCCACTAATATTAAAGTGGATTACTGTTAATATAATAATTTATATGGCTGATTGGCAAGCAAGGTATTTAAGGGTTATAGGAATGAGTAGGGAAACGACAGCCTTTCAGAGTAGAAGCTATTAAAGGAAGCAAGCAGATGTGAAAAGAATAAAGTTATGCATCTACTTCCTATCGCGCAGAAGTCACCACATAAAAAAATCACGTTTACAATGTAAGAGTTGTGCACTGTGAGAAAAACATTATTTTGGGTATAAAAATCTTTTAAAGCAGCACCTTAGGCAGAAACTAAGACTAATAAGTAGACTTGGCAATGAAAACAAAGTTTTAGGGTGACAAACCCATAAGTAATAAATTGATAAAATATGTTTACAACTCATCTCTTTAATAACAAATTACAAAAAATGTAAATTAAATAGAAATGCTGCCTAAGGAAATAAGATTACATATATGAAAAGATTCTCTGCCTCAACAGTAACGATGAAATAGTAAATTTTTAGTGTTTTTGGTTGTTACAGGGTCTCACCATGCAGCTTGGACTCATGGTGATCTTCCTGCTTTCAGTCTCCACAGTGCTGGGATTACAGGCGTGTGCCACCATGCCTGGATTCTGGCTGGCTCAGCCGGCCCTGGGGACAGGGCTGGCTCAGCATGTGGTGCTGGTGATCCAATTGGGGTCTTTGTGCTTGCCTAAGTAGGTACTTTAGTCCTCTGAGCTATCTTGCCTGCCCCAAATGGGCTATTAAAAATACTGCTAGTTGCTGTTGTTCTTGTGCTCATGGAAGGTCTAGCAGGGCAAAAGTCTTAAGAATGAGTATTGCAATTGAAAATACGCATGTTCTTTGAACCAGGAATTCCACTTTTGGCAACTTACCCCATTACTCCAAGAAAATAACTGGTCCAGCACAAAGGGTAGTATTTAAGGATGTTTAGTGATAGAATGCTGTCTATAATTGCAGAAACAGTCGAGGTGCTTGCCAATTGAGATTGGTTAAACTAATAGCCATATTGTAAAATGCCGTAAAAGCAACAAAGAGGACTGCTCTTTTTCAATGGAATGTGTCCACCATATATTAAATTTTCAAAAGATGATATACATAGTGTTGTTTTTCTTTAAAATTGCCTGGGATAATAACAGTGCCTTTTTCATAAAGTTGCTGTAAAGAGGAAATGGGTTTAGCTACAAAAAAATCTCTAGAATACTACCTGGAACTTAGTGCTAGAGATTTCTGTAATCTTTGTTACCATATTTCTTATCTATGTACATAGGAAAGAGTCTAGAGAGATACCAACCAAAATGGTAGCACTGTTTTAATAGTGGTGATATTTGTATATTTTTCCCTATGATTTTATTTAAAAATAGTGATACTGTATTAGTAATGAAAAATTAAGCCATCAAAATTTAGGTTTTTTTTGCTCATACCAGCTATATGATGCACTGAGAACTACAAATATTTATTGTAAAGAAAGAGTAAATTTAAATAAACATCCCATAATCATGGTCTAGGAGAACTAGTCTTCAGACATCAGTTCTCCCCACAATGATCTACAGAGTCAGATCCACTAGAATTATAGTTCACTTATAAAAACTGACCTGCTGATTCTAAAGGTTGAATTGTAGCAGATCCAAAATAGATTAAAGAAAACAGTAAGACTCACACAATGTAATTTGAAAACTTGCTGTATAGTAATGTTAAGGCAGTGTGCTACTGTGTAAGGTAGATCAGTGAAAGAGCATTTACCATAAGTCCACAAAGAAAAACATGTCAGTTGATTTTCTACAAGGCTGACAAGACCATTTCATGGGGAAAGAGTGGTCCTTTTCACAAATGGTGTGACAACTGAGTAGCCTAATGAAAAAAAATGAAATGTAACCTTCAAATTACACCTCATAACATTTAAATGGCTTGTAAGACCTGAAATTATAATGAAATAAAGCATAGACTCAGATTTGTAGTGATTTGCATTAAAGCAGAAATACTAAAAAAAATACATACTCATCAAATTAAAACTTGTGCTTCACATGAAATCATAAAAAATTACGTGCAGCCAACTGACAGAATGGGAGAAAGCTGCAAATCATTAATAAGGGACTGTATGTGTAGATGTATGTGTGTGTATATCTTACTATTCTAAACAACGCAGAACCGAGACAAAGGATAGCCATTTTGCAATGAGAAATAGACCTAAAAGCATTAAATAATGCAAATCAGAATCACAATGAGATACTTCTTGATACCGACTAAGTTTGGGTACAATTAAGAATTCCATTGAATAGAAAGTACTGACAATACTGTACTGACTAATACTGTAGTGATAGCCTAAACACATGACAGTGGTACATTGGCTTTGGAACAGTTTGGCAGTTCTTCAAGTAATTAATCACAGTCATATGATCCAACAATTCTAAGTACACATGCAAGAAAAATGAAAATATTTACCCCTATAAAAAGTGTTTACATCATCATTCTAACAGTGAAAATGTGGCAGTAACTCAAATGCCTGTTAACTGATGACTGGATAAAATATATCTAGGTAATCAATGCTACATTATTTGGCTACAAAAGGATGAAATACTGATGGATACCGATCTACAATGTGGATAAACCTTTAAAGCCAATGAAAGAAGCTAGTTACAAATGACCGTATATCATTTCCTTTCACATGAAATGTCTGGATAGTCCAGTTCATCGTGACAGTGATTGGTGGTTGCTTGGCCCAAGAGCCAGATAAAAGCTAAAGTGTACAAGAGTGAGGCAATGAAGAAGTTCTAGTTAGTGAAACTTGCAACATACCTGTGAGTACATCAGAAACCACAGAGTTGTATATTTGGAATTGTATCTCAGACTTTTAAAGATAAAGCTTTTTCTTTTTCCTGTCTGCTCCCTACCCCATGCAGCTGTTGGGTGACTTTCCTTTCTCAGGGGTGCGATGCTGCAAGGTAAGCAGGAAAGCGTGGATGCACTCTGCACCCCTCACAATGCAGTCCCTCCATCTCCTATTGCAGGAAATCCCTGCAGGCAGGAACGGGAGCTGGGAATTCTGCACTCACATGTTCTGTCTCATTTTTGTGCTTAACTGAGTTCAGGGAGTTGATAATGCCGGTAGAAGTAGCCAACACACATGGAGCACAAAAGTTGAGTCCAAAGATCAGGGGAAAGATGAATTTGATTGAAACAGTTTTACAGGTTCAGAAAACGGTGGAATGAGGAATTGGATTCCTCTTGCTAAGGAAGTCCTTAGAGATGGCAGTGGCATCAGGCGTACCTCTCAAATGTCCATTCTCAATTTTCAAGTTAAAGTTAATTATTTAAAAACTATTTCTCCCTAGCGCTCGAGAGAATGTTAGCTATTGTAGGACTCTGCCCTTCTCTGGTCGGAGCTTGGTAAAGGCATGTGTCTCAAGGCAGCCTCCTTAGATGTTCTTCTGGGAGTTGCGGTCTGCAGTTACACAGCAGACTGCAGAGCTGGTGACAGAACTGGGAGGTTAATGTTATGAAATCCTTTGAAACTACCATAGGATGTGAAAATAAAAATGCATATTAATATTTCATGGATTGAGAGGAAATTTGACATTTGATACATTGTGATCTATGATTTCATAAGAACTATGGGCTAAAAGAATCAGTAATTTAAGTTTTCATAAACTTAAGGTAGAAAACATTTTTCAAGTCTAAGAGTAATTTCATTACCTTGATATCCTTTATTTTCTGCTTTTCAAAATTGTCAATAGTTTCCTCCAGATGACGAGTTGTTCGGGTAACATCTGTTGAAGCTATGTGTAATTCAGCTTCTGCCTATAAAAGTATTCCCCAACCAAAAATATAAAAAATAAGAGTCAGGATCCATTTTGTTGAATTATTGGGAAATTCATTTCAGTATCTGCTTTTTGGCATAACTAAATTACTCAGTATTATAATTTGCCACATATAATAAAGTGATCTATAAGTCATGCAGAATCAACAATTTTAAATCTCTTAAGTTACATGACTCATGAATTCAAAACAAAAATCCTGTTTCTATAAAACCATTTTTTGTCACCTGATTATTTGTAAACCCTTCATTATGGCTTGCTTTTGTTTCATTGCCTACACCATTTCTCATATTATCCTTTTTCTTCTTTTTCCCTTCTTTCCCCAAAAGGAAAGATTTAATGATTAACAAATATAATCCCTCTAGTTCTCCTAGCTATTGTCAATCCATAAAATTAAAA